ATATATATATATATATGTTGCGTGTGTGTGTCCTGAGGGCTTGGGTGTTGTCCCTGAGATTTTGTGCTCAAGATTAGTGCTCTACTACTTGAGCCAAAGATCCACTTTTGGCTTTTAGTGGTTAATTGGAGATGAGTCTCATGGACTTTCAGGCTGGCCTCCAACCAAGATCTTCAGACCTCAGTCTCTTGAGTAGCTAGATATAAGGCACCAGTACCTAGAAGATTCCTGATATTAACAAAATATATACACACTGGGACATTATGTAAGACTCTAGACATTCACACACTGAGGTCAAAGGAGGCTATGCATAGGAATGGATCACAAAGGCTCAATAGCTATGTGCAAATGATCATATAAAATAATATTTTATGAAATGAACTCCAAGAAAAGGAAACAAGAGATATCTTTTAATTGCCATTGCTGCTGTTATTGTTTTCTTTTCCTTTTGTCTTTTTAGCTTGTTTGTATTGGGGGGCTAAAGAGGGCCACAGAAAAGGTGGAACAAATGGTGAACAAATGCAATGGTGGCATTCACTAGAACCTATGTAGAAAATGAACTGTACATCCTGTGGGAAGGAATGGGAGGGAAAATAGGGAGAGAGGGAGGGAAGGGGGAGATATGGCTAAAGAAATTGTACTCAAGGGAGCTAAAAAAATAGAATGGAAGAAAGACAGCCTTTTCAGTAAATGGTGCGGGCAAAATTGGTTAACTACTTGTAGAAAACTAAAGCTAGATCCTTATATATCACCCTATACCAGAATCAACTCCAAATGGATCAAAGACCTCGGAGTGAAAGCAGACACTCTGAAAACATTACAGGATAGAATAGGAGAAACCCTAGGTCTCCTTGGCACAGGCCAAAATTTTCTTAATAAAGACCCAGAAACACAACAAATTAAAGAAAGGTTGGACAAATGGGATTGCATGAAATTGCAGAGCTTCTGCCTGGCAAAGGACATAGCTAGCAAGATCAATAGAAATCCCAGAAGATCTTCACTAGCCATACAACAGACAAGGGTCTCATATCTAAAATATACCTGGGACTCAAAAAATTAAATCCCCCAACAACAAATCTTCAAAGAAACAACTGCCCAATAAATAAGTGGGCTAAAGACTTAAAGAGAAACTTCTCTGAAGAGGAAAGAAGGATGGCCAATAGACACATGCTCAACCTCACCAGCCATAAAAGAAATACAAATCAAAACAGCATTGAGATACCACCTCACCCCAGTTAGAATGGCTATAATCAAGAACTCTAATAACAACAGATGTTGGAGGGGATGTGGACAGAAGGGAACTTTACTGCATTGTTGGTGGGAGTGTAAAATTTGTTCAACCACTTTGGAAAGTAGTATGGAGGTTCCTCAAAAGACTCCACATAGAGCTCCCCTATGACCCAGCAATCCTACTATTGGGCATTTACCCAAATGCTCACAAACAAGACCACACTAAAGCTACCAGCACGACTATGTTTATTGCAGCATTATTTACCATTGTTAAGATATGGAACCAACCCACATGCCCCTCAGTAGATGAATGGATCAAGAAAATGTGGTACTTATACACAGTGGAATTCTATGCCTCCATCAGAAAGAATGACATTGCCCCATTTGTCAGGAAATGGAAAGACTTGGAAAAAATTATATTAAGTGAAGTAAGCCAGGCCCAAAGAAACTTAGGTCCCATGGTTTCCCTTATTTGCAATAACTAGTATATGTCTCAGTCAACCAGAAAAGGTCAGATAAGTTGATCTTAGGGAAGATTCTGAGATATGTATTCAAATGTTTTTTTCTTTCATGCAATTGTTTCTAACACATTTATAAGATGATTTCTTTGTTGCTTTGTATGGCCCTCCCCCACGATATAACCCCTGCTTTCACTGTATTTGATGTCGGTATAATTTGTGGAGGGGAAGGGAGAAAACAAATCGTTTAACTAGGGATACTGGTGGACCCATTGCAACAATGAGATGTACAAGCCGTTATGTGGAAAAACGAACTTTACAATTTTGGTGGGGGGGGGGGGAGGAGTATTGGGTAGGGGGGCAAGGGGAGGGTGGGAAGGGATGGGAAGGAGAAACAAAGGAGGAGGCTGCAATGCTTGATAAGAAATGTACTCATTATCTTGCCTATGTAATTGTAACCCCTCTGTACAGTATTTTCACAATAAAAATAAAAAAAAAACAACAAAAAGAACTGTACTCATTACCTGATTCATGTAATTGTAACCCCTCTGCACATCAACTCTACAATAGCAATAAAAATAAATTTTAAAAATGAACATTTTTAAGATGATGAAAAATATTTGAATTGTTTCATTTCAAGGGCTCCCATTTTCCCACACCACATTTTCCCATGGTAACTGGATCATCCAGACAAGATCAATAGGAAATATTAAAATCCAGATATCTTTAGACCAAATGGACCTCAAAGATATTTACAAAGCAAGCAGATGCCGGTGACATCTGTAATCCTAGCTACTCAGAAGGCTGAGATCTGAGAAATGGTGCTGTGGCTCAATGTGATAGAGCACTAGTTTTGAGCAAAAGAGCTCAGGGACAGTGCCTAGGCCATGAGTTCAAGCCGCATGATTGACCAAAACAACAACAACAAAAGATACTTAAAGCATTAGATACAAATATATATGTATGTATACACACATACATTTTTTGCATTAGACCATGAAACAGTGGTACAGAATAAACTATATGCTCTGTCATAAAAGAGGTCTTAATGAAGTAAAAAAAGATCAAAATCATATAATGTGTTATTTTTCTAAACACATTGGAATCAGATTGGAAATCAAAAGCAAGAGAAACAAGAAATCAAGAACTTTAGACATGGTGCAAACATGTGGAAGTTAAACAATGTGTTCTTGAATAATTAAGCTACAGGCTATACTAGAAGGCTATGCTAAGGAGGAAGATGAGTAATGCCAAGTGGTTTTTCACATATGTGTTGGTCATTTGTATGTCGTTCTTTTGAGAAAACTCCAGTCACATCATTTGCTCATCCTTTACTTGGGTTTTTTTTTGTTAATTGTGAAAATACTGTACAGAGGGGTTACAATTACATGGGCAAGATAATGAGTACATTTCTTATCAAGCATTGTAGCCTCCTCCTTTGTTTCCCTTTCTCATCCCTTCCCACCCTCCTCCTGCCCCCCGACCCAATCCTCCTCCCCCCCACCAAAGTTGTTAAGTTCATTTTTCCACATAACAACTTGTACATTTCATTGTTGCAATGGATCCACCTGTATCCTTAGTTAAACGATTTATTTTTTCCCTTCCCCTCCACAAATTATACCAATCTCAAATACAGTGAAAGCAGGGGTTATACCATGGGGGAGGGACATACAAAGCAACAAAGAAATCATCTTATAAATGTGTTAGAAACAATCACCTGAAAGAAAAAAAAAACATTTGAATACATATCTTAGGGTTCATTTCCCTAAGATCAACTTATCTGACCTTTTCTGCTTGACTCAGATATATACTAGTTATTGCAAATAAGGGAAACCATGAGACCTAAGTTTCTTTGGGCCTGGTTTACTTCACTTAATATAATTTTATCCACGTCTTTCCATTTCCTAACAAATGAGGGCTGAATTATATATGCAGGTGCGTGATGGTAATCCATAGTCACCTCACACAACATCCAATGGATACTGAGAGTTCAAGTCTGCATAGACAGCCAATTGGTAGAAAAAAGAGATGGTGCTCAAGGGGTACAAATTTCCAGATACAAGAGGAATGAATTCTGGACATTCATGGTGGCTATGCTGTATATACATCCTGTATATTTCAAAGGAGCTAAGTGAGAAGATCTTAATGTTGTCAGTACAAACCACAAAAGACAACCATACGCATTGATGGATGTATTAACTAATTTGATCAGAGATTCATTCATTCAAATGTGTACACATAATCAATATTACACTTTAGGCCTAATATACATACAATTTTTAAATTTTTTTATTATGAAAATACCGTACAGAGAAGTTATAATTACATGGGCAAGATAATGAGTACATTTCATATCAAACATTGTTTCTTCCTCCTTTGTTTCCCCTTCCCATCCCTTCCCATATCCCGGGCCTCTCATATCCCCTCCCCCCCTGCCTTCCCCCCCCCCCCCCCCCCCCCCCCGCCAAAGTTGTAAAGTTCGTTTCTTGACATAACGACTTATACATCTCATTGTTGTAATGGGTCCACCTATATCCTTATTTAAATGATTTACACACAATTTTTGTATAAATACAGAGATGAAAAGAAAAGAGAGAGAGAGAGAGAGAGAGCGAGCACACATATACGCATGCACCAGACAGTCCTAAGGCTTAAACTCAAGGCCTGTGAACCGTCCTTAAATTTTCTTTTTTTTTTTTCTGTTGTTGTTGCTGGTTTGCTCAAGGCTATCACTTTACCACTTGATCCACAGCTCCCCATTTCCAGCTTTTTGATGGTCAATTGGAGATAAGAATCTCATGGACTTTCCTGCCCAGGATGGCTTTTTATTTTTTAATTTTTTTTTTGTGGGTCATGGGGCTTGAACTGTGGGCCTGAGCATTGTCCCTCAGCTCTTCAGCTCAAGGCTAGTGGTCTACCAGTTGAGCTACAATGCCACTTCTGGTTTTCTGGTGGTTTATTGGAGATAAGAGTTTTGCAGCCTTTCCTTCCTGGGCTGGCTTTGAACCACGATCCTTAGATCTCAGCCTCCTGAGTAGCTAGTATTACAAGTGTGAGCCACTGGTGCCCAGCAGGGAAGAAGAATTTTGACCAATTTTCCAAAAAGTGATAAGTGACACACACACATATATCTATATATTATCTATCTATCTATCTATCTATCTATCTATCTATCTATCTATCTATCTATCTATCTATCTATCTCTCACTCTTAATTTGGGAATCTTTTCAAAACATAACAAGCAACAAATTGAAAGTTGACAAAATGATCTACTGCTGGACCAATGTTGTAGCGGCCGAGAAGAGCCACTTTCAACCAAAGTAGCTATAGACAAAAACTGCTATGGCCAGAAGGAGGATGGCATTGATGTTCACTACATTTCTCCACAAAGGCTTCTCTGACGTGTCTGTGAGCTTCCTCTTCAGGTCTTCTTCCTCTTCTTTTGTCAACTTGGGTCCTGTCTTTTGCAAGCCACAGAATAAGTCACAGCCTCTCTTGAGACATCCACGAGGTTTCTCAGGAGCATCTGAAACAAAGAAGTATAAATCATTGCAAAAGATGGTAAATTGTGGGGCGCCAGTGGCTCATGCCTAGCTACTCAGGAGGCTGAGATCTGAGGATCGTGGTTCAAAGCCAGCCCAGGCAGAAAAGTCCATGAGACTCTTATCTCCAGTTAACCACCAGAAAACTGGAAGTGGTGCTGTGGCTCAAGTGGTAGAGCACTAGCTTTGAGCTGAAGAGCTCAGGGACAGTGCCCAGGCCCAGCATTCAAGCCCCATGACTGACAAAAAAAGTGGCAAATCGAAATCTGTGTCAAAAGAAAGATCACACTCATAAACATCAGAGAAATCCAAGAGAAGACAAGGTCAAATTTAACTATGTAAAAATAGCAATTTTTTGCATGGCAGAAGTCTGACAAAGTTAAAAGTAGTTAAAACTCAGATCCCAGTGGCTTATGCCTGAAATCTTAGCTACTTAGGAAGCTGAGATCGGAGGATCATGATTTGAAGGCAGCCTAGGCAGGAAAGTCTATGAGACTCTTAATGATCAAAAAAGCCAGAAGCCGAGTTGTCATTCAAATGGTAGAGGGCTAGTCTTGAGTGTAAAAGCTCAGAGACAGAGCCCATGCTTTGTGTTGAAGCCCCAGGACTGTATATATATTGTATGTATTACGTATGTATGTATGTATGTGTGTATGTGTGTGTATGTGTGTATGTATGTATGAAAGTATATATATATATATATATATATATATGCACACACAAGTAGTGAAAACTGAGGGAAATAATGGGATATTATATCACAAAGAATAATATTCTCAGTGTTTAATGTATTTCTTAAAGTAAAGAAGGAAAGACCAGTGGAATGGTAGAGGGCTAGTCTTGAATATAAAAGCTCAGAGACAGAGCCCTTACCTTGTGTTGAAGCCCCAGGACTGTATGTATAATGTGTATATATGTATGTATGAAAGTATACACACACACGCACACACACACACACACACACATATAACACATGTACAGAATGAACACAAATCTACAAATATATTATCTTCCAGGACTGATTCAGGAATATATGGAAACTCTGAATGGCCATTATTTAAATTTGATCAGCATTTGAGAAGTTTCTCTTTTGTCACTTTTGCTCTTTTGTAGTCTCTCTCTCTCTCCCTCTCTCTCTCTCTCTCTCTCTCTCTCTCTCTCTCACACACACACACACACACACACACTCAGTACATGAATAGTATTACTGGCACAATATTAAAATTTCAGTGAAGATAACACTCCAATCTCATTGTGATATTCCCATAAAACATAAGCGAATGGATAATCTAGTCTATAAAAATAAGTCACTGATCTAACACTAAAACCAGGTACAAAAGAAGAAAATCACAGGCTACCTTTATGCAAGGTTCTCTGATATAAACAACTTAAGAAGTGAATGATGTGGATCCTTTCTTCAGTTTGAAGAAACTCAACCAGACCAAACCCTTGGTAGACAGTTCAAGGCAATGAATCTTGACATGCTAAAGGTTGTTAGTGGTTAAGAAATAGACAATCAAAGTGATAGATCCTTGGGGACGTTTTCCTGAAGGAAGTACAATTAGGACCTAGATTTGAAAAATGGATTATCATTCTTTCCCTTGAATGACAGGAAAATTCTAGATAGAATGGTATTATGTGGAAAAAATTAAGAAACCTTCCTACCTGGAACTGGAGAGTGAGTAGCAGAGCATGATGAGAAATGAAAGTAGAGAGGAGGCTGAGCCACAGGCTTCACCACTACCAACCAAGATTGATTAATTGAGAATGAATGACCAATCAAGAGTAATTTATTAAGAATCAAAAACCAAACAGGATTGATTTATTGAGCACAGTATGTGTCTAAGAACGGGAGAGTTGGGCAGGGCACTGGAAACTCACACCTCTAATCCTAGCTACTCAAGAGGCTGACATCTGAGGATTGAAATTTGCAATCAGCCAGGCAGATAAATTTGAGAGACTCTTATCTCCAATTAACCAGTAAAAAGCTGAAAGTGGAGGTGTGTCTCAAGTGGTAGAGCACCAGTCTTGAGTGAAAGAGCCCAATGGGTATATGAGGCCCTGAGTTCAAGTCTCAGCCTGCGTGCACACACACAGACACAGACACAGACACAGACACACACAGACTCACTGATTATTATTTCAGTAGCTATCATAGTTTCATGGATGGATGACTGAAGGATGGACAAATGGACAGGCAGTGAATAAATGGATATCATTTTCATATGTTTTAGATGCTGGGAAGATAAAAATTTAAAGTTGTTGTTTTGTGCCCATCCTAAGGCTTGAACTTAGGGCCTGGGCATTGTATTTAAGCTTTTTTGTTCAAGGTTAAGCCAAAGCTCCATTTCTGGTTAATAGGAGATAAGAGTCTCAAGGCCTTTCCTGCCTTGGCTGGATTCGAAATATGATCCTTAGATTTCAGCCTCCGGAGTAGCTAAGATTATAGTCTAAGCCATTAGTGCTCAGCAAAACTGTAAAGTTTCCATTTGTCACACATATAATGGCTTTTTAAAAATGTAATATATATATTTTATGGTAAAGTTACTGTACAGAGGGGTTATAGTTACATCAGAAAGGTAATGAGTACACAATGGCTTTTTTTTTTTAAAAAAGGTGAATTTAGTAACATTTTACAAAACACTAGTAAACTAAATCATGGACATAAAGTTCCTATATGAAGGTCACATGTAAGGTAGATATTTACCATCTTCAACAGAATCATCAACTTCTTCTTGTCTTTTCTCTTCTGCATCTATATCAATTCTTTCTTCTGTACTATTCCGAAGAGCCCAGCACAAGCGATACAACTGATCCCAAGACAACATACAAGGTTATTAGAGATAGGGAAATACAATGTTCTAATGCTATCCAATACTGGCATTGAACCATTGAATGGAAGGATACAAGAACACATTATAGTTTAAAAAAAAGCATGTAAATGTTAAATTCATATGACAATAGAAATACATTATGGTTTAGGAAAGGAAAAGTCTTAAGGACCATGAGACTGTTTAATTCATGTTTTGAAATTCAGTGAGGTTTGGATTTGCAAAGAGACTATACACCCTTTTCTTATAATAGTAGAAAAGGCTTGCCTCCTAAGTAAACTGCTAAGTTCTTTGAATCTCCAGTTCATTTTCCAATCCTTTACTTTTATATCAAGAGTACTGGATAAAAAATTGTTGCCTAGTTCAATGTCTGGTAGATAATCTCTTAGGAAGCTCCTAGCTCTTATTTCATTACAATGATTTCATTGACCTGAGACTTGTATCCTAGTTTGAACTTTAGAAAGAAAGGAACTAGTTGGATGCTGGTGGCTCATCCTTGTAATCATAGCTACTCAGAAGTCTGAGATCTGAGGATCAAGTTTTGAAACCAGGCTGGGCAGGTAACTCCATGAGACCCTTGTCTCCAACTACTCAAAAAGCTACTCAAAAAGCTGGTAGTGGTTCTGTCGGTTAAGGGATAGAGTGCTTGCCTTTATCAAAAGAAGCTCAGGGCAGGGTGTCAGTGGCTCATGCCTGTAATCCTAGCTACTCAGGAGGCTGAAATTTGAGGATCAGAGTTAAAAGCCAGCTAGGCACAAAAGGCCATGAAACTCTTATCTCTAATGAACCACTAGAAAACCTTAAGTGGGGCTGTGGCTCAAGTGATAGAGTGCTTGCCTTGATCTGAAGAGCTGAGGGACAGCACTCAGGCCCAGAGTTCAAAACCCCATGACTGACAAAAACAAAAAAAGAAGCTCAGAGACATCACCCAGATCCAAAGTTCAAGTTCCAGGACTCACAAAAAGAAAGAAAGAAAAGAAAGAAAGAAAGAAAGAAAGAAAGAAAGAAAGAAAGAAAGAAAGAAAGAAAGAAAGAAAGAAAGAAAGAAAGAAAGAAAAAAAGGAAGAAAGGAAGAAGGAAGGAAGGAAGGAAGGAAGGAAGGAAGGAAAGAAAGAAAGAAAAGAAGGAAGGAAGGAAGGACAAAGAATAATATATAATAATTATGTTATTAATATATAATAAAATATATAATTATTAGTTATATATAATATATAAATAATATATGTAATAGGTATTATATTATATATGATGTATTATAGTATATATTATTTATGACATATATAGTATGCAATATATGGTGTATTATATAATATATAACAGTATATATTACATAATTATACACAATATAATATATAATTATATATCATATGTAATACATAATTATATATGGTACAATATATTATCACATATAATTGTATATAATATACTATATATAATAACTATATAATATAATAAAGTATATATTACACATTATATATTACATACACATAATATTTTATGTAATTATTATATTATGTACATATAAGATATTATATGTAATATATAAATCATATTATAACCATATATAATATAATATAATATATGATTATATATTCTATAATATAATATATATGTATAATTAATAATAATAATAATTATTATTATTATTAGTGCTGGTACTAGGGATTGAACTTAGCACATGGGCACTGTTCCTTAACTTTTTCTGCTCAAGTCTGGTGTTCTACCACTTGACCCACAGCTCTACTTCTAGCTTATTGGTGGTTAATTGGAGATGAAAGTCTCTGACTTTTCTGCCTGGGCTGGCTTTGAACTACAATTTTCCTATTGCAGCCTTCCTATTGAGTAGCTAGGATTACAAGCACGTGCCACTAGCTCCTGACCAGGACTTCTTCTTTTGAAATGGGTGGGACTCTTATTTTTAAAACTTATTGTTATTTTAGAGGTGATATTCAGCAGGGTTACATTTACATGCTTCAGGTAATAAGTACTTTTCCTTTCATGCAGTGTCATCTCTTCCCTCGTTCTATCCCATTCCCTCCTACCCATCTCAACCCACGAGTTGAATAATGGAACTCTTATTTTAAAAGGAGCATTCAGCCGTTATGCATTACTCACATGTACATCGGGAATTGGTTTTGTGAGGAAGGACACTCCCAGGACGACCACTGTGGTCACACAGAAGATGATGATGCCGAAGTACATGTAATGCACTCCACAGATAATCTTGGGACAGTTACTGGGGACCAAGCAAGTGCCGGTTCCATAGGCAAACTCTGTGATCATACGGATAAGGCCAATCACAAGTCCAGACAGCAGTCCCCAGAACGCTCCCTGCCAAAGGAACAGAGACAAAATCCATGTTTAGGAAGCAAGATGGGAAAAAAACCATGATGGGATCATTGAAGTCACCCTTACCATCCTGCCTGTCTTCTCAACAGACAGATCACTGGCTAACCCTGACCATAAGCTTTTCAGAGTAAGACAAGGACACCTAATGTCACTGTCTCTGATCAAACCTGCAGTCTGTTTAGACTTAAAAAAAAAATCACATACAGATTTGTAAATAAGTGATTTATGTTCCTGAATAAATAGACCTATGACTTCCATGACATCATTTTCATGTCTGGGAATATGTAGTTCTATTAAATTCTACTAAGCGCAACTGAAAGCATTTATTTTATCTAAGAAAATTCATGGGAACATGATTTGGAAACTGGTGCCCCTGATCTCTCACCTCAGATGCTATGTTTCAGAAAAGTATCTTGAGTGGAGGTTAGGAATATAAACTTTAGATTGAGAAAGACTGAACCTGACCTCTGCTTAGTAATAATAATAATAATCTCTCTTTACCTGTTCTATAGCTGAAAATTAGGGTAATAATATTAACAGGAATCTTGCACAAGTGGCTCATATCTATAATCCTAGCTACTCAGGAGGCTGAGATCTGAGGATTGAAGTTAAAGCCAGTGCAGGTAGGAATGTCCATGAGACTCATCTCCAATGAAGCACCAATTAAGAAAGCCAGAAGTGGAGTTGTGGCTCAAGTAGTAGAGCACTAGCTTTGAACACAACTCAGGAACAGTGTCCGGGCCCTGAGTTCAAGTTCCAGGACTGCCACCCAATCAAAATAAATCTCAAACTCCCAATAAACAAACATTCCTTTACCACCCCCCCAAAACCTAACAGGAACAATTAAAGTATTAAACATAAATAGTCTATACCAATTAATCAATTCTTTATATCAAAATAGAAACAAACATGTTTGAGTTGTTTTTGGTGAAGATTTTCTTCTATGAATTTTACATTTTTCAGTTGATTCAATCCCCTTTGCAATCCCATCAGGTAGGCACAATTGCTGTTTTCATATTATAATAATGTGATTTACTTAAGGTCACAAAGATATGGTAGAGCCACAATTGGAATCTGAAAGCCTGGCTCATCAATAGGATTTTCTCAATACTGTACATGAATGCACATAATTTATGAGAGACATAAATGCTTTCTTATGAGTATGACTGTATTTTTTTTGTCAGTCGTGGGGCTTGAACTCTGGGCCTGGGCGCTGTCCCTCAGCTCTTCAGCTCAAGGCAAGCGCTCTACCACTTGAGCTACAGCGCCACTTCCGGTTTTCTGGTGGTTTATTGGAGATAGGAGTCTCACAGTCTCTCCTGCCTGGGCTGGCTTTGAACCGCGATCCTCAGATCTCAGCCTCCTGAGTAGCTAGGATTACAGGCGTGAGCCACCAGCGCCCAGCTTATGGACTGTATTTTTAACACTTATATGAGGAACAGAAGTCATGGCTTACCATAAGTGAATTTGAAATGGGCTGTGTATTGTGTACATTCAATGGAAAGAATATACTGTTTGTTTGTTGTTTGGCCATGGGGCTTCAACTCAGAGCCTGGGAGCTCTCCCTGAGCTCTTTTGCTCTACCACTTTGAGCCACAGATCAACTTCCAGTTTTCTGGTGGTTAATTGTAGATAAGAGTCTCATAGACTTTCCTGTCCAGGCTGGCTTTGAACTGTGATCCTCAGATCTTAGCTTCCTGAGTAACTAGGATTTAGAGGCATGAGCCACCAGTACTTGACTTGTTAGTTTGTTTTTGATAGTACTGGTTATATTGTTAGACCATATGCTACCACTTGAGATGAAGTCTTGTCAACTTTTTTCTCAGGCTGACCTTGAACAATTGTCTTCTTAATCTTTGCCTCCTGAGTAGCTTGGATTATAGGTATAAACCAACATGCCTGCTTCTAAGAATGTATGTTTTTGGAAATAGTGTCCCATTATGCTCTCCAGGTTGGTACTGATCTCTCGAGCTTAAGCTATTTTCCTACTACAGGCTCCTAAGTAGCTGAGACTATAAGTATGTTCGCTATATCCAGATGAAGAAGGTGTTGTTCTATCCAAGAAGAAGATATATTATTGGTTTCTTACGCTAGCAGAAAAAAAGATATTTCACTCACTGGTTCGTTGACTCTTTTACAAAAGATGCCAAGCAGGAAGACAGTTGCAACTGGAGGCCCAAGGTAGCTGGAAATTGATCCTAAGTAATGGAATAGCTGTCCATTTTGAAATACCTGTACTAAGGGGACCCACAGAAGGCCAATGACAAGTAGAACGAGGATAAATAGCCTGGCAAGAAAAAAAAACCACACAATTTTAATAGTAAACGCAAGCATTTTGGATGCTTCTTAAGTTACTGTTATTGTTGTTTGTACTGGTACTGGGGCTTGAACATTCTTACTTAAGGCTGGTGCTCTACCACTTGAACTACACTTTAACTTCTAGCTTTTTGCTAGCTAAGAGTTTCACATTTCCTTTCTCCTTCCTTCCTTCCTTCCTTCTTTCTTTCTTCCTTTCTTTCTCTCTCTCTCATTCATTCTTTCTTTCTTTCTCTATGCCTTTCCTGGGACTTGCTCTCAGCCCAGTCTAGAACTTTCAGTTCATTTTCATTGATGTCAGAGACTAAGAAGCTGTAGTTCACTTCTATACTCACCTCAGGGGAAATCTAGTAAGAAATTTGGATTCTCTCACCGTCCAGCTATTAGGAGCTCTCCCTCAGATGCCTTCTTTCTCACATTGGTGTAGATGTTCAGGGTGAAGATGGTGCTGGCACTGTTGAAGATGGAAGTCAGGGAGCTCATGAGAGAGGCCAACATGACAGATAGCATCAGGCCTCGCAGCCCTGGATTGAGGAGAGGGAGGAAGTACTGAGTACCATGCAAAGATAGGAGGGTCATATGCCGTATGAACCAGCTAATGTCATTATCAATATCTATCTAAATATCCAATTTTCTGGTGGTGGAAGGATAATTCAGTAGAGATTTAGTTCTAAATATTAACTTGGAGGTCATCTTCTAGACAGTAATTTTGAAAAGGAGAATCCTATTCTCTCCCCTGACCCATTCCCTCTTTCTCTGAAGAGAAACTCTTGACCTTGAAGACTTAGAGAACTAGAGAGGTAAGGAAGGACCTGGTAAGAGACACAGCCTTTCACGGGGGAAAGCTGAGGTTCTAACAATATTATGGGATATTCATTAGAGTGCCTTCTGCCCATTAGTGCTGTCCTTAACTTGGGAGAGAGTAGGATGGATGGGTGTGCACTATGTTATGGGTTCGGGTCAATCTTCCTCCTGAAAATGCTCATAGGTGCCAAAGAGAAGAGAGTCCATGGAAGTGAGAGCTAACTTCGAGGGTCATAAAGTATAAGATCACCTAGTTACTCAGAGCTTTGCGCACTCTTCTTAGTTTCACTGCCCATCACAGAAAGTATATCATCTGAAATTTGAATTATTTCATAGGTGTGGTTATTTCCTATGTTTCAAAAACTACAATTTGCTGGGTGATAGCTCATGCCTGTGAGCCTAGCTACTCAGGTGTGTGAGATCTGAGGACTGTGATGGTTCAAAGCCAGCCAAGTCAGGAAAGTCTGTGAGACTCTTATCTCCAATTAACCACCAGAAAATTGGAAGTGGTGCTGTGGCTTAAAGTGGTAGAGTGCTACCCTTGAGCAAAATACCTCAAGGAAGCACCCTGCCCCTGAGTTCAAGCTGCACAACGGACAAAACACAAAACAAAACTACAATGTAAGTTCCAAAGAGGAAGAGCATTTCTACCTATTTTACTGACCATTTTTTTTTTTTTTTGTCGGCCATGGGGCCTCATCTCTGGGCCTGGGCACTGTCCCTCAGCTCTTCAGCTCAGGGCTAGCACACTATCACTTGAGCCACAGTGCCACTTCTGGCTTTTTCTGTTTATGTGGTGCTGAGGAATTGAACCCAGGGCCTCATGCATGCAAGGCAAGCACTCTACCACTGAGCCACCTTCCCAGCCCCTTTACTGACAAAAACCAATGCCTGAAAAATAGTAGGCTCTTAATAAATAGCTATAAATCAGGTAAATTGAAATTCACTGGACTAATGGAAGCAAGGCCAATATTGAACCTGCAGTACACTGAATTTACACGTGTGGTCATACCATTCTTTCATTGAGAAAGAGTTCATTTATATGTTTTTCAAAGTTGGACACCAGCCTTAAATTAGAAGAAATGTTATTTTAATAGAAACTGCTCATCTCCATAATCTCTAGTCCTGTCATAGGGCCAGTAGCCTGATGGAAGATGTTCAAGAAATATCTGAATTAATGAAAGTAAGACCTTTCAAGGATTATTCCACAATCTTCCTTAAGGTTTATCTTTAGACCTGTCCTTCAAAACTGTCTGAACATGGACATTTACTAACCATCAGGCATGAGTTCCAACACCAGGGTTGGGTAGGCATAGTTACTGCAGCCAACTTTGTTGCCACAGTGTTTCTCACATTCAGAAGGTACAATACAGGCAACCTTATCTGAGGAGAGAGGCAGAGGTAAGGTCAGTGAGCAGGGCTCAAATAAGCACAATTCATAAACTTTGGGTGAACAGATGAGATGTAAGATCATATGTGGGAATTAGATATTGAACTTGGAATTTGATATAGTGGATCAAGTCACTCTTTGCCCAGAATGGGATCTCCAGAAGGGCTTATACCTATAGTGCCTCTTGTACCTACTCATTAATTATCTCCACATCTTTTTACTGTTGTAAACAACACTGAAATATTGCAATAAGAAATGATGTTGGTCACTTGATGGTTATTTTAGACTTTATTTGAAATAAATGTATGCCGTGTTGAGAAACTTCAGTGTCTCCAGTGTTATCTGATGGGTTGGCCCAATAGAAATGGGTTTTTGGACTAGAAAGATCAATTATCTATCCTTCTGCTTTTTACAAGAAAGGAAGTACAGTTGCAGTTCATCTTAGCTGACTCAGAAATTAATGCGCCCATATAACTTGATTTCAGATATATGAATTTGATTCAATTCTACAGATGTCCTAGAGGGACCAAAAAGTAAGAATGCATCTCACAGATCTGCAAAGATGTCACCAAACTTGATCACAACAACTCACCTAACTCACATTTTCCCAATTCTATTTCATCCTTCTGTGCTCTTTGAATGTTTTCTCTAGACGATCTTACATTAAAGGCATTCATGGAATCAGGACCACCATGTCAAATGTCTGTGTGACAGGTAAGGAGTATAAAAGAGATATGGAAATGGCCAAACTAAGACAAATTTTCTTGCCTGGACATTGTACAAGTGTCTCCTTCCATCTGTAATTTTGCTTTCGATTCTACCTCCAAAGGAATTTCTAGTCTTATCAGGGTTTCTCGATATCTTAAATAACAGTGAGGATTCAAGCATAAAGGGGGAGGAACTATGGACTCAGAGCTTGCCTGTGTAGAGGATGCGGCTGATCATTCCTGGCATTACCATGAGGAACATGGGCAGCAGCTTCAGGTAGCCACACAGGATGCAGGCAGCTTTCACATGGGACATGTTCTTTCCTGATAGGCAGCGCTGTACAACAACCTGCCAGGAAAAGGCCACATATTTATGGACAAAAAAAAAAATCAAATCATGATTTCAAAGAAGTTGAAAGTCCCTTTTAGGATTTAATATTACAATTAGAACGGAAAACATCATGGTTAGTGGAAAATAACTGGCTTTGGAATGATTGTACTTGAATGATTATTCTTTGTGCACAGCATTTGATCTCAGTGATTCTCAGTCTTTTTTTCTTTTAAATTGTCAGTGTTTGCTATAAATTTCTTTTGGAGAACTGCTTTGGTTGTATCCCAAAATATTTGAATATGTGTGTTTCCATTTTCCTTTGGTTCAAGAAGTATTTAAAATTTGCCAGATATTGGTGGCTCATGCCTGTAATCCTAGCTACTCAGGAGGCTGAGATCTTAGGATCATGATTGAAAGTTCAGACAGGAAAGTCTGTAAGACTCTTGTCTACAGTTTTTGACCCTTAATGGTAAGATTTCCAATGACTTTTCTTTAAGCTTGTTCTATCCTATTCCTTGATCTACTTTCTCTTTTTAGATTCCATTATTGCCTTTTATTAGTTTTTTTTCTGGGTAATTTATAGCTGTTTTGTTCCCTTTTACTTCCTTTGTAGCCCTTCTTTATGGTTTGATGATTTTCTATAGCCCTATAGTATGAGCCATTTAAAACATCTTTTGTTAAATGATATCCTTTTGGTATCTTTTAAAAAGTTTTCAGCTTATTAAATACATTGATACGTAGTTGTTTAACCTCAGTGTCCTTCCTTCCTTTCTTCCTTCCTTCTTTCCTTCCTTCCTTCCTTCCTTCCTTCCTTCCTTCCTTCCTTCCTTCCTTCCCTCCTTCCCTCCTTCCCTCCTTCCTTCCTTCCTTCCTTCCTTCCTTCTTTCCTTCCTTCCTTCCTTCCCCTCTCCTTTCTTTCATTATTTTTAAGAACCAATCAAGGGTTGGGAAGGTGGCTCAGTGGTAGAGTGCTTGCCTTGCATGCCTGAGGCCCTGGGTTCGATTCCTCAGCACCATGTAAGCAAAAAGAAAAAAAAAGCCGGAAGTGGTGCTGTGGCTCAAGTGTAGAGCGCTAGCCTTGAGCTGAAGAGCTGAGGGACAGTGCCCAGGCCTAGAGTTCACGCCCCATGACTGGACCCCCCCCCCCAAAAAAAAAGAAACCAATCAAGCCACAGGAAAACCAAACACCACAAGCAGACCAGAGACTCCAAGAGACTAGTTATGGACACAGGGGAGATACAGGATCTTCCCATTCCTCCCCCCCAAAAAACCCCAAACAACTGTTTTTTGTACTTTTTTTAAAAATAATTTTTAGTTTTTAAAAAATTGTTTTCTATTAATATTTTTTCTCTCATAATTTTTATTTTAGGTGTATGTGTGTGTGTACTTTTTTAAATCTCTTCTGATCTTTTGGTCCTTTTTTTATTATTTTCATTTTTTTTCTCCTTTCTTTTTTGCGAGACTTAATTGCTGTTCTGCTCATCCCCAGATATATACCTGTTGTCGATTATTGGACTTTATATCCATTTTGTGTACACTTAATCCAGAAATTTATTATTCAATTCACGACCTCCTAAGCTTAAATTCTTTAATAGCAGTATTATCTCTTTATACCTATATAATTTTCAAGTAACTAATTTTAAGAATTTTTATTTTTTATTTTTTCATGTCTCCTTTCTATCCCTCCCCTCCTCTCATCCTATCCTTCTTCTCTCAATACCATTCCTTTAAACTTACATAATTTTGAAGGGTTTCACTTTTTAAATTTAAATTTTTGTTTTTCCATTTTTCTTGTTTTTTTTTTTTTTTTAAATCTCTCTCCTATCATTCTCTCCAATCCATTTCCCTCTCTGAGATTAAGATTTGGTTAAATTCACTCTCCTTTTACTTCACCACATACCTTTAATCCTATTTTTCCCCACATTTCTCCCTAAATCTAATAATTTCTGGTTTGCCAAATTCTTCTTTGTAATCTTAGCCCATTAATCCATAGTTGTTTGATGTTGACTAGATTGTATCTGTTGAACTAGATTGTATCTGCAGCCATTTTGAGTGTGAAACTACAGGACTCTGGTTGATGCTTCCCTTAAAATAGTGTTCTAGAACAAAATTGGTGTTACTTTCATAGCATATGGGCAGAACAAGCTGGAAAAACACATAAAAAAACGGCAAGTCCATTTATCTCAATTCCCACTCATTATAATCAGATGACAGAAGAGTTAATGAATAATCCAGAGGAGAGTTCCCAAAAAAGATCTACAAACACTATTGGTAAACATGGTAAACATTGAAAACCTGCAAAGGACTCAGAGTGAGCATGATAGGGAGAGAGGGAGGCAAACCAAAGATTAATACAGGAATCTCATGAGCGTGAGGAAGCTACTCAAAGATTGATACAGGAACTGCATGAGCAGGTTGATAATAGTCAAAGAGAAATAAAGGAAATGCGTGAGCAGGCTGAGAACAGTCAAAGAGAAAGATAGGAATAGTGTGAACGTGAGAAGCTAATCAAAGAGTAATACAGGAATTGAGAGAGCGGGATGAGAATAGACAAAGATCAGTAGAGGCATTCATGGAATCCATAAACAGAGAGCTGAAAGAATTCAGGGATACTGCAAAGGGAATGCTGAATGGAGCCCAACAGAAGGAATGGGAGTCCAAGGAAACCATAACCAATCAACTAAGTGATTTGAGAATAAATACTGAACACCAAATTAAGGAAATAAAGAAGTTCATACAAGATCTAAAACAAAGCTCCAACAAAGAACTTGAAGCTCTCAAAGCCAACCAATTAGAAGGAAAAGAAATAAAAAACAAAGTAGAAAGTCTTGACAAAAGGTTAGATCATGCAGAAGAATCGAATCTTGGGGATTGAAGACAGCCTAGATATTATAGAGAAAGAACATACAACTATCCAAGACAAATCCAAGAAATAGGACAGATCTATTCAACATTTGGAAGACACCATGAGAAGGCCTAATCAGAGGATAATGAGACAGAAGTTAATGGTCTAGGAAATTTGTTTAACAGGATCCTAGCAGAAAATTTCCCAAACATGTAAAAAGATAGGCCTATTCAGATACAAGAAGCTTTTAGAACCCCAAATAGGCCAGACCAGAACAAGACATCCCACCATCACATTATAATCCGCACAGGATCAATTCAGACCAAGGACAAGATCCTTAAAGCTTTCAAGGAGAAAGGATTAATCACCTATAAAGGGAAACCAATTAGAATCACCTCAGATTTCTCAGCAGAGACAATTAAAGTAAAAAGAGCCTGTAATGATGTATGCCATGCCCTAAAGACAAACAACTATCAACCAAGAATACTGTACCCAGCTAAACTCTCCTTCATAACCGAAGGTCAAGTAAAAACCTAGCAAAGAAAAACTGAAACATATCTCCACCAACCCAGCCCTACAAAAGATACTTAAAGATGTCCTATACATAGAAAACCAACAAGACCACAATAAAGGCCAAGAAACCACACCCTAACTGAGAATCCAAGAACCATAGGAAGAACCCAGTTGCCGCAGCCCCCAAGAAGGTGGATAACATGGTAGGAATTCTCAAACATCTCTCAGTCCTAACTCTCAACATTAACACTTAACATTAACTCTCCAATTAAGTGACATAGACTGTCTAGTTGGATTAAAAAGCAAGATCCTTCTATCTGCTACCTTCAGGAGTCACAGCTTGCCCATATAAACAAACACATTTTGAAAGTGAAAGGCTGGAACAAAATCTATTAAGCAAAATGGCCCCCATAAACAGGCAGGAGTTGCAATCCTAATATCAGATAAAATAGACTTCAAATTAAAATTAGTGAGAAGAGATTAAGAAGGTCGCTACATACTAATTAAAGGATCTCTCCTTCAGGAGGATATTACAATTCTAAATATCTATTTGCCAAACAATGGAGCATCCAAATTTATCCAAGAAACACTACTTTCCCTCAAAGCTCACATAGATCCAAAGACATTAATTGTTGGAGACTTTAATACACCACTATCCTCACTAAACCAACTCAGCAAAAAAGTCAACAGAGAAACCGCAGATCTAAACAATTGCATAGATCAACTATATTTAACAGACATCTACCGAATATTTCACTTAGCAGCATCACAGAAGACAGGTTTTTCTCAGCAGCACATGGAACTTTTTCCAAAATAGACCACATTTTAGGTCACAAAGCAAACTTGTCCAAATTCAGAAACATTGAAGTTATACCTTGCATTCCCTCAGACCACAAGGGAATAAAATTAGAACAATACCAAAAGCCACCAAAGAAAGTCCTGTAACACATGGAGGCTGAACAACACACTGTTCAATCACCAGTGGGTCATGGAAGAGGAAATCCAAACGTTCATGATATTCAAAAATGAACACACAGCTTATCAGCTTCTCTGGGACACAGCAATGGCAGTACTCAGAGGCAAGTTTATAGCTCTGAGTTCCTACATCTACAAATTGGAGAGATCTGAAACCAACAATTTTTTTGGGGTCCGGTCATGGGGCCTGAACTCTGAGCCTGGGCGCTGTCCCTCAGCTCTTCAGCTCAAGCCTAGCCCTCTACCACTTGAGCCACAGCACCATTTCTGGCTTTTTTCTTTTTGATTATGTGGTGCTGAGGAATCGAACCCAGGGCCTCATGCATGCAAGGCAAGCACTCTACCACTGAGCCACCTTCCCAGCCCCATGAAACCAAAAATTGAATGAGACATCTGAACCTCCTTGAAAAAGAGCAGCAAGATAAACCTCAATCCAGCAGACAGAAAGAAATAAATAAAATTAAATCAGAATTAAATGAATTAGAATCAAAAAAAAAACCCATAGAAGGAATCACAAAGAGTTGGTTTTTCAAAAAAAATAACAAAATAGACAGACCCTTAGCAAATCTTATCAGAAAAAGAAGAGAACACACCCAAATAAATAAACTCAGAGATGAGAATGGAAACATCACCACAGGAACAACCCAGATGCAGAACATTATAAGGGAATACTCAAACCTTTATGCTAATAAGTTTGAGAACTGGGCAGAAATGGACCTTTTCCTAGTAAATATTGACATGCTGAAACTAAACCAAGATGAGTTAAACCAGCTTAACAGGCCCATATCAAACATTGGAATAGAAACAGCAATAAGAGACTTCCATCTAAGAAAAGCCCAGGACCAGATGGATTTACAGCAGAATTCTACAAGGCCTTCAAAGCAGAGTTTATTCCAATACTCCTCCAACTCTTCAATGAAATTGAAAGAGAAAGTTCACTACTGAGCTTATTCTATGAAGCCATAATAACCCTCACCCCAAAACCAGGCAGGGACTCATCAAAGAAAGAGAACTATAGACCCATTTCTTCGATGAACATTGATGCAAAACTTCTCAACAAATTTTGGCCAATCGACTTCAACAATTCATCCAAACAATCATACACCACGATCAAACAGGATTCATTTCAGGGATGCAAAGCTGGTTCAATATACGCAAATCAATTAGTATAATTCATCACATCAACAAGAGCAAGGATAAGAACCACATGGTTATCTCAATAGATGCAGAAAACGCATTTGACAAGATCCAACACCCCTTTATGATGAAGGGTCTGGAAAAATTAGGAATCCAGGGAACATTCCTCAATACTATAAAGGCTGTATATGAGAAACCTACAGCCAGCATTATACTTAATGGTGAAAAACTAAAGCCATTTTCTCTTAACTCAGGAATGAGACAAAGATGTCCACTCTCTCCACTTCTCTTCCATTTAGTATTGGAATGCCTAGCTACAGCAGTAAGACAAGATGCAAACATAAAGGGGATCCAAATAGGGAAAGAAGTAAAACTCTCCTTCTTTGAGGATGACATGATCTTGTACTTAAAGGATCCCATGGACTCCACTCCCAAATTACTCAAGCTGATTCAAAACTTTGGCAAAGTAGCAGGGTATAAAATTAGCCCTCAAAAATCAATGGCTTTTCTGTATGCCAACAATGAGAAAAGCGTGGCTGAAATCAGGAAAGCAACTCCATTTGTAACAGCCCCACAAAAAATGAAATACCTAGGAGTTAACCTAAGTCCAAAGAAGTGAAGGACCTCTATGATGAAAACTTTAAAAACCTGAAAAAGGGGCTGGGAAGGTGGCTCAGTGGTAGAGCGCTTGCCTTGCATGCCTGAGGCCCTGGGTTCGATTCCTCAGCACCACATAAGCAAAAAGAAAAAAGCTGGAAGTGGAGCTGTGGCTCAAGTGGTAGAGTGCTAGCCTTGAGCTGAAGAGCTGAGGGACAGCACCCAGGCCCAGAGTTCAGGCCCCATGACAGGACCCAAAAAAAAAAAAATAAATAAAATAAAAAATAAAAACCTGAAAAAGGAAATCAAAACAGAACTTAGTAAGTGGCAAAACCTCCCATGCTCCTGGATTGGAAGGATCAACATGGTGAAAATGCCAATACTTTCCAAGGCTATCTACAAATTCAATGCGATACCTATCAATATTCCAACCTCATTCTTCAAGGAAATAGAAGAGGCAATCCAAAAGCTCATATGGAACAATAAAAGACCCTGAATAGCAAAAACAATCCTTAACAGAAAGAACAGTGCTGGAGGAATATCAATATCAAATTTCAAACTCCACTATAAAGCCATAGTAATCAAAACAGCTTGGTACTGGCACAAGAACAGACCTCAGGACCAATGGAATAGAATTGAAAACCCAGAAATGAACCTAAAGACCTATAGCCATCTAATCTGTGATAAGGGACCTAAAAATAGAATGGAAGAAAGACAGCCTCTTCAGTAAATGCTACTGTCAAAATTGGTTAGCCACGTGTAGAAAACTAGAGCTAGATCCTTATATATCATCCTGCACCAGAATCAACTCCAAATGGATCAAAGACCTCCCAGTCAAAGCAGATACTCTGGAAACATTACGGGATGGAATAAGAGAAATCCTAGGTCTCCTTGGCACAGGCCAAAATTTTCTTAAAAGAGACCCAGAATCACAACAAATCAAAGAAAGGTTGGATAAATGGGACTGCATGAAATTGCAGAGCTTCTGTATGGCAAAGGACATAGCTAGCAAGATCAATAGAAAGCCCACAGATTGGGAGAAGATCTTCACTAGTCATACAATGGACAAAGCTCTCATATCCAAAATATACCTGGAACTCAAAAAATTAAATCCTCCAATAACAAATCCTCAGAGAAACAACTGCCCAATAAATAAGTGGGCTAAAGACTTAAAGAGAAACTTCTCTGAAGAGGAAAGAAGGATGCCTAATAGACACATGAAGAAATGCTCAACCCCACTATCCATAAAAGAAATGCAAATCAAAACAGCATTGAGATACCACCTCACTCCAGTTAGAATGGCTAGGATCAAGAACTCTAATAACAACAGATGCTGGAGGGGATATGGACAGAAGGGAACCCTACTGCATTGTTGGTGGAAATGTAAAACTTGTTCAACCACTTTGTAAAGCAGCATGGAGGTTCCTCAAAAGACTCCCCATAGAGCTCCCCTATGACCCAGCAGTCCCACTTTTGGGCATTTACCCAAATGATCACAAACAATACCATACTAAAGTTACCAGCACAACTATGTTTATTGCAGCATTATTTGCCATAGCTAAGATACGGAACCAACCCAGATGCCCCTCAGTAGATGAATGGATCAAGAAAATGTACTATATATACACAATGGAATTCTCTGCCTCCATCAGAAAGAATGACATTGCCCCATTTGTCAGGAAATGGAAAGATTTGGAAAAAATTATGTCAAGTGAAGTAAGCCAGGCCCAAAGAAACATAGGTCCCATGGTTTCCCTTATTTGCAATAAGTAGTATATATCTGAAACAAGCAGAAAAGGTCAGATAAGTTGATCTTAGGTGAAATGAACCCCAAGATAAGGATTCAAATGTTTTTTCTTTCTTGAGATTGTTTCTAACATATTTATAAGATGATTTCTTTGTTGCTTTGTATGTCCCTCCCCCATGTATAACTCCTGCTTTCACTGTATTTGATGTTATTACAATTTGTGGAGGGGAAGGGAAAAAACAAATTGTTTAATTAGGGATACAGGTGGACCCATTGCAACACTGAGATGCACAAGGCATTATGTCGAAAAATGAACTTTACAACTTTGGCCAGGGGTGGAAGGGAAAGAAGGTAGGGGGGAGGGGGGAGATGGGAAGGGATGGGAAGGGGAAACAAAGGAGGAGGCAACAATGTTTGATAAGAAATGTACTCATTACCTTGCCCATGTAATTATAACCCCTCTGTACAGTATTTTCACAATAAAAAAATGAAAAAAAAAACCACAAAGGAGTTGTTTTCTGTAACAAGCTTTGTAGATATACTTTGCCCTTTAAATGACACATATGTATACAAAATAGAAGCTAGATTTTTTTCCTATGGGACAAGACAGAGTAACATAAGCATATTCACAGATACAAATATACATGCTCACCTGATCTGTACACCAGTACCACAAAGCTATAATGGTCATTCCGAACATCATTCCTGGCCAAGGAATATCTCCAGTGATAGGATCTCGGAAAATGTGGAAGGAGTCCTCCCGAGGAGTGTAGCACTTGGGGCTGATTGTCAAGTTGTCCCCTTCAGTTATAGACGGGATGGAGTTCATGTACTTCTCCACAAAGCTCTCGTAGCCTCCAACCTCAGCGAATGCTGGAAGGCATTAGGTCCAATAAAACGTCTTATGACAATTCAGAGAACTTATGTTTTATGATTATTTCTTTATGGTGGATGTGTGTAACACCTCACATTAGCCTGGTCAAATCCTCAGTGATCTTTACCCATGACCCAGAACTTCCTAGGACCTTATTAACATTAGCCAGATTGACTTTCATAAAGTACATACAGCAAAAGTGTTGTTTAACTTTTCTTCCCATGATACTCTATTCAGCTTAGGTTTTGTGTCTAGCTGTATGGTAAAAATATAACTGTTAGCCAACAGACTTGATGTCTGTCTCATTCTACCCAGAGTAGCGATGGTGAGCTCTCTGAGCAATCTTTAGGGGATCAGTCACCAGACACTCTAGCAAATATGGCTAGGCAACTGGGAAACTTAATTTGAGTTTATTTAATTTTAATTAAAGTAGCCTTGTGGGGTTGATGGTATCAGTATTGTGTGGACATCACTCCTTTTGGTCCCACCTTTGTTGTCTTTGTATTTCTTTTTTTTTTTTTTTTTGATAGAAGTGTATTTTCTTTTATATACAAAAATGAAGGCCCAAAATATGGTTTGCTGAAGTAGTTACAGACAAGATGTTAAATTCTTTTACCTTTGCTTTGGTTAAAACAGCCTAGGAACCAGTGAAGCTCCCCTTCTACCATTGACATACAAACAGTGACAGGACTACTTTTAGTACAGAATAAACAACTTTCAAGGAAAATTAATTTTTAACTAAATTGAACATTTACCAATAAATAAAAAATTAAGGGTAGCATCTTCAATTCTACAATCCTGTCATAACACTTATGCCAATTTAAAAAATAAAAATTTCCCCACAATAGTAATTACAGATGTTAATGTAGCAAGTTATGAAATTACTCCAATGTATTTTAAAAAAAGTCCTAGCAACCAAACTTGAATTTTGAAATTGGGCTTAACATTTAAAATTGAAATTAAGACCAAAAAAGATATGCTCCTTCAGATAACATATATATAGTTTAACAATCCTGTCTTTGTATTTCTATTTGAGCTTTTGACTCAAGCTCTGTGGTTTGGTACATGCATGTTAAGAAATGCTTTATTCGTTGTGGCTTGAATCCTACAAGACAGTGAAAGAACTATATTTTCACCTTATATACTTTTTATTGTGTTTATGATTTCCTATACAGAGATAAGTAAACATAATAAAAAAGAAGATAAAACTTAAATGGATGGATTTTGCTTCCTATCATTATTAAAGAGACTGAAGTGACAGTAACCAAGGAAAATTCAATGTATGCTTGTTTATTTCAACAATAGATTGAGTAATACATTTTAGTCAGTCGATATTTTATTCAATGATATGTTTTGGAACTATGCATTTATTCTAGGACAGTTACAATGAAGTTGACATTATTATCTAAGATATTACTAATCTATATAAAACCTTCATCATGAAAATTCTACGTAAACGAAGGATTTCTATGCTTTGAATGCAATGAAGAAATATTTGTGTAAATGAACCCAATATATCCAATTTTGTCAATGACAAACACAAAGAAATTAAGGCTGCAAAAAATTTGAGTAATATTTTTTTCATTTTAACATGTCCATTTATGTATAGATTACATATTGATCATGATCCCTTCTGTCACTTTCTCCCTCTTTCCAAACAAGTTTTATCAAGCATTCTTGTTCCATTTTCATTCCTATACATACAGTTTTTACTATATTCACCTTTCTTTCCCTCTCCACTTGCTTGCTGTCTCCCACTAGTTCCTACACCCTTGACAAAACATGCTTTAACTTCCTAACTATTTTTTTTGCTTATGTGGTGCTGAGGAATCGAACCCAGGGCCCCAGGCATGCAAGGCAAGCACTCTACCACTGAGCCACCTTCCCAGCCTCCAAACTTCCTAATTTTTTTCCAAAGTGAATAGTTTTCTTCCTCTAATTCTGCATACCTAAATACTAAAGGAATCAGGCAGGTATTTCCACAATGTGAATTATACAAAAGATGGAGGAATGTGACCCACATACAATTGGGAGGCAGCATTGGAGAACAGACAGAAAGAAACATATCTCACTTACCAAAACCCATGAGAGTCACAGAGCCAATGACCATGATGAAAGCCTGAAGAGTGTCTGTGTAAATCACTGAGGCCAAGCCCCCTGTGGAGAGAAACATGGGCCAAGACATTTTATTCAGGGGTCCTGATTTATCTGTTTTTATCGTGGGATTCTTCTTTATCCTAATTACTAGGTCATTAGAAAATATATCTATAAGACCTGGAAAGGCTACAAATTTTGCATCGGCATAATTATCTCTTTAGTATTTATGTGTCTCACAGATTTCTACTTTCTCTTGGTTTGCCCCTTTTCAAAGTTTCTGTGGATTATAATGGAGTAACATCTTTGTGTGTTTTTGAATATTACATAAGGGAAAAGGGCAAAATTCAATTTCTTACAACTATTAGTCTATGGGCTCCCTTCCCATAGCTTAGCATGTTCCTTTCCTTCCCCGGACCTGGCAGGCACCATTCCCCAAAGTGACCAACACTAGGCCCATTTAATGTAGGCAGTAATAATTGGCCTCTTTTCTCCTTACTTTGAGACCACTCTCCATTGGGTCAGTTGAGGCCTTAAGGTGACCTTCAGTCTGGTCAGCTGCAGGCCCCTTATCTACTACTTTGGCAGCTGCCATGAATCCTAGCCCTCCATGACGAAGTCCTGGGCCCACAAGTCTGCACCAAGGTCCTTGCTTCCTAGCCCACCCTAGATTATAAGTAGTCACTTCAGACAAAGACAGGTGCTTCTTCTCCCTGTGAGAATTGGTCTTGTCAGTCCCTTTGCTGACAATAAACTTTTTTTTAAATTTAATTTTATTGTCAAGGTGATGCACAGAGGGGTTAGTTACATTGGTAAGATAGTGATTACATTTCTTTTTTCTTTTTTTGGGTCAGGTCGTGGGGCCTGAACTCTGGGCCTGGGTGCTGTCCCTCAGCTCTTCAGCTCAAGGCTAGCGCTCTACCACTTGAGCCACAGCGCCACTTCCGGCTTTTTTCTTTTTGTTTATGTGGTGCTGAGGAATCGAACCCAGGGCCTCATGCATGCAAGGCAAGCTCTCTACCGCTGAGCCACCTTCCCAGCCAAGGGACTACATTTCTTTTTTACCTTGTTACCCCTTCCCTCATTTTTCTTCTTCTTTCATTTCCTCCTAATCCCCCCCAAGTTGTACAGATCATTTCCAACGTATCATCTTGGGAGTATCGCTGTTGCATAGGTTCCCCCTTTGTCATTTGTCTCATCATTTCATTGTTCCCCTTCCCTTCCCTAGTTCAGACAAATGTATGCACAATACACAAGATACCAAAATTGAACACAGTGACCACAGGGGATAAACCATAGGGGAGAAAACACAAAAGAAAAAAGAAATCACGTAGTACCTTGAGAACAGCAGCCACAAAGAAAAACCTCATGCCCATGTTTTGGAGTTCATTTCACTTAGTTCATTTCATCTTATATAGTCATATGTAGATAGTTATTGAGCTTTTCTGCTCATCTGGTAAGATTATCCTAGATGTATACTAATCATTACAAATAAGGGAAACCATAGGACTTATATTTCTTTGGGTCTGGCTAACTTTATATGATTTTTTTCCAAGTCCTTACATTTCCTTACAAATGGGACAGTGTCATTCTTTCTAATGGAAGCATATAATTCCATTGTGTGTGTCTGTCTGTCTGTGTTTGTGTGTGTGTGTGTGTGTGTGTGTGTGCACCCATGTGTGCATCACATTTTCTTGATCCATTCATCTACTGAGAGGCATCTGGGTTGGTTTCATATCTTAGCTATTATAAATAATGCTGCAATAAACATAGTTGTGCTGGTAGCTTTAGTGTGGTCTTGTTTGTGATCACTTGGGTAAATACCTAGAAGTGGGATTGCTGGGACATAAGGGAACTCTATGTGGAGTCCTTTCAAGAACCTCCATAGTGTTTTCCAGAATTTACACAGTGTTCCCTGTTCGTCACATCCCCTCCAGCACCTGTTGTTATTAGATTTCTTTTTCTTTTTCTTTTTCTTTTTTTTTGGTCTGGTCGTGGGGCCTGAATTCTGGGCCTGGGCGCTGTCCTTCAGCTCTTCAGCTCAAGGCTAGCCCTCTACCACTTGAGCCACAGAGCCACTTCCGGTTTTTTCCTTTTTTGCTTATGTGGTGCTGGGGAATCGAACCCAGGGCCTCAGGCATGCAAGGAAATGCTCTACCGCTGAGCCAACTTCCCAGCCCATAGATTTCTTGATTATAGACATTCTATGAGAGTGAGGTGGAATCTCAATGTTGCTTTGATTTGCATTTATTTTATGGCTAGAGATGTTGAACATTTCTTTATGTGTCTATTGGCCATTCTTATTTCCTCTTCAGAGGAGTCTCTCTTTAAGTCTTTAGCCACTCATTAATGGGGCAGTTGTTTCTTTGAGAATTTGTTTTTGGGGGATTTAATTTTTTGAGTTCTAAGTATGTTTTAGATATGAGACCGTTGTCTATTGTATGGCTAGTGAAGATCTTCTCCCAATCTGTGGGATTCCTACTGATTTTGCTAGCTATGTCCTTTGCCATGCAGAAGCTCTGCAATTTGATGCAGTCCCATTTGTCCAACCTTTCTTTGATTTGTTGTATTTCTGGGTCTTTACTAAGAAAAATTTGGCCTGTACCAAGGAGCCCTAGAGTTTGTCTTATTCCTTCCTCTAATGTTTTCCGGGTGTCTGCTTTTATATCGAGGTGTTTGATCCATTTGGAATTGATTTGGTGCAGGGTGACGTATAAGGATCTAACTTTAGTTTTCTACAGATGTTCAACCAATTTGCAGACAATAAACTTTTCTTTCTTTGTTCTACACGACTGTGTCCGTTTGGTTTTCTGGACTGGAACTTACAGTAACACTCATTTCACTCTCCTTTGACACAGTGAAGTTTAGCCAAACTGATTTTACTTCAGTGTTGGGCCATATTTTTCTTCTGGTCCTTGGCCTTGGACTCTGGGCCTGGGCATTGTCCCTAGCTCCTTTCCCTCAAGACTAGCACTCTATCACTTGAGCTACAGTACCACTTCTAACTTTTCCTATGATTAATTTGAGAACAAGAGTCTCATGGACTTTCCTACCCTGTCTGGCTTTGAACTGCAATCCTAAAATCTGAGCCTCCTGAGTAGCTAGGATTACAGAAGTGAGACACCAGTGCCTAGCTGGACCCTATGTTTGTTTTAGTAGTTGAATACCAGAACTAGTTGTTGACTTGTGTTTCACAACAATATTGTAGAAAAAAAAAGAAGGAAAGGAAGGAAGGAAGGAAGGAAGGAAGGAAGGAAGGAAGGAAGGAAGGAAGGAAGGAAGGAAGGAAGGAAGGAAGGAAGGGAGGGAGGGAGGGAGGGAGGGAGGGAGGGAGGAAGGAAGGAAGGAAGGAAGGAAGGAAAGAATAGAAGGAAGGAAGGAAGACATTCTCAGTTGAGGGCAGCTCAAATTTGTAATCCTTATTACTTGAGAGAAGGAGGATATGGGGATTGAGATGAAGGCCACCTGGGTATAAAAGTTCTTAAGATTTCATTTCACTCAGTGTTTGTGTGCAATGGCACACAACTGTTATTCCAGCTAAAGGAGAAGCACAATGGCTGTGAGTAGCAGTGTACACTGTTAACTCCAGCAACACAGGAAGCACAGGTAGGAAGATCACAGTCCAGACCAGCCTGGACATTAAGTGAGACACTATCTCAAAAAGAATGGTGGCAAAAAAGGGCTGGAGGTGTGATTCAAGTGATAAAGTATCTGCCTAGCAAGTGCAAGGCTCTGAGTTCGGTCCTCAGTAATACAAAAAGTACATACATCTTTCAGTTCTAAACTCATTAGATTCTCAGTGAGAAAGGTATTTCTTTTATAAGAGTCATGAAGAAACAAAGATGAGCTGGAAAAGCAGAGGAATAGGCCCTTAGTTCTAATTTATTCTGAAACCTCATACACTCCAAGTATAAAAGTAGGTTCAGAACTAATCCCTGGCACAGTGGCTCATGCTTTTAATCACAGCTACTCAGGAGGCAGAAATCAGGAGAATTGTAATTCATGATTAGAATGGGGAAAAAGTTACTGAGATCTTATTTCAATCAATAATCTGGGCATGGTGGTGTGGTGTTGTATGCCTGGAATCCCAGCTAGATGGGAGGGTATAGGTAGGAGGATTTCAGTCTAAGGCTGACGTTGGGCAAAAATGCAAGACCATATCTGAATAATGACTAAATTGAAAAGGACTGGGGTCTAGCTCAAGGAGTAGCTTTCCCAAGAAGTGCAAGGCCTTGAGTTCAAAGCTGAGTAATCCCAAAAAAAGGGACTATCTTAATTATTTATCATTTCCTTTATCTCTTCCAACTTACCTGGAATAAACTATATCTGCTGAATTCAAAGTTCATAAAAGACTGATTATCATAAATTAATGTCCATGAGTCACGCCACTCACATACCCAGTTAGAAAAGTCTATTAGTGGCTGGGTGTCCATGGCTCATCCCTGTAATCTTAGCTACTCAGGAGGCTGAGATCTGAGGATCATGGTTCAAAGCCAGCCTGGGCAGGAAAGTCCATGAGACTCTTATCTCCAATAAACCATGAGAAAACTGGAAGTGGCGCTGTGGCTCAAATGATAGAGTGCTTATCTTGAGCTGAATAGCTGAGGGACAGCACCCAGGCCCAGAGTTCAAGCCCCACCACCAACAAAAACAAAGAAAAGAAAAAAGAAAAGGAAAGTATGCTAGGACTGTTCACACAGCTCTCTTCACAAAAACACATGGCTCAGCTCTTCCCTTCCATAGGGTCCCATCATGGTTCTCTCCTACATCCTGCCTCATGTGTTCATTTGAGCCTGTCCTTGCATTTTCCATATCTGACATGCTCCTTTATTGTAAACTATCTACATATATGATACACAGAATTTAAAGTGGCAATTTATGTACCAAAATCCACAGCTGAGCTAAATTATAAAAATTTTCACTCATCAGTCAAGCTACTCACTTCTAATACTGAGGATTCTGCCATGTTGTTTTTTTGTTTTTGTTTGTTTTTGTTTTTTGGTCATGGGGCTTGAACTATAGGTCTGGGCACTGTCCCTCAGCTCTTCTGCTCAAGGCTAGTGCTCTACCACTTAAGCCACAGCGCCACTTCTGGTTTTCTGGTGGTTAATTGGAGATAAGAGTCTCACGGCCTTTCCTGCTGGGGCTGGCTTTGAACCACGATCCTCAGATCTCAGCCTCTTGAGTAGCTAGGATTACAGGTGTGAGTCACCAGCATCTGGCCTGCCATGATTTTTGCTCATTGTGTTTCTGGACCTGCACCTAACTTTCATAATGGGAATGAAATGGTTTCCTTATCTAGGCAATTGCAAGGCTAGAATAGTATTCACAGTTTGGGATAAGATTAGTAGAAGATAGCATCACTTACCTGTGATGGTGTAAACAGCAGTGATAGCCAAGAGGATAAAGATGGCCAGGTAAAGGTCCAGTCCAAAGGCCAACTGGATGAATATAGCTCCAGAGAATATGTTGGACTAAAAGAAGAAAGGGTGGGAAAGAAATATATTCCAGGCCTCTGTTTTCTCTGCTTCCATGTCTCTTCTCCCTCCTTTTCTAGATAGATCTTTACTCACTCTCTGAGACTTTATTTAGATGTACCCACAACTATATCTCCCATAAAGCCTAAAAGAACACTTCACTCATTTTTTTGTATTCTAAAAGGAGCTAGTTCATGGCTCAATTGAATGAGGTGACATGAGTCAAGAACTCTTTCTGTATATATGGTTTAGAGAGGTTTGATAATTGCTTGGGTGTTGAAAAAATGCATTTTTATTTTAGAATTTTTGCAGAAGGATTACAATTACATAAGTCAGGTAGAGAGTACTTTTCTTTTTGGACAATATCATACCCCTTCACTTGCTCTCTCCCAGTTTTTCACTCCCATCCTCACCCAAAAGTTATATAGTTTATTTTCAACATAGTGTCTAGTGAGTACCGCTCCTGCATATGTTTACCCTTTGTCCCTTCATTTCTGTGTCTCCCTTTGTACTCTCAAAAACATATAAATGAGCAAACAGATAAAAGGGAAGAAAACAAAAAAAGCAAAACAGAAGAAACCTTTTGTTTCATTTCCTGGAGTTCATTTAATAAAATATTATTTTGTATGATCAAATTCACATCTGATCATACAAATAGTATATCTTATTATTCAGAAAGGCACGTGCCTTTCTGTTTCTCTCCCAAGAGTATCCAAAAACAGCATTCTTGAAATTAAAATTTTTGTCCTAAAGAAGTTTTAGGATTATGAATACTTTTCAGTTCCTACAACCACATAAAAATTACGTCTTTTTCAAAAGATGATTTTTTTTTTCTCTGTTCTGGAAAATCTTGAACTACTGAGGATGTTTTGTTTCCTACCTGGAATTTATACATACCCTTCTGAATTACAAGAAGTCCCTAAAGTTCCTGAGGCTCAGGGATTTTGTCCTAGGTCATCCAGGTAGAAAGTGAATCTATGTAGTTTGATCCTGAGTTCACCTTGCTATACTGCAATTGTGAGATTTTTCTTAATAAAATACATTAGGAAACACTTGGAAATATAGACAAACATCCTGGGATGATAGTAATTGTCATGGCATTATTTTGAACCTCCATGAATAATTTGTATGTAAGCCAAGGTAAACAGAGGCATTACAGTCAAATAAATAGATTACAGATAAATGGATAAATAGAAGGATAAGTTGGTACAAGAGAAGTTGGAATTTTTTTTTTTTTTTTTTTTTTGTCGGTCGTGGGGCTTGAACTCTGGGCCTGGGCGCTGTCCCTCAGCTCTTCAGCTCAAGGCGAGCGCTCTACCACTTGAGCTACAGCGCCACTTCCGGTTTTCTGGTGGTTTATTGGAGATAGGAGTCTCACAGTCTCTCCTGCCCGGGCTGGCTTTGAACCGCGATCCTCAGATCTCAGCCTCCTGAGTAGCTAGGATTACAGGCGTGAGCCACCAGTGCCCGGCGTTGGAATTATTTTGCCTTTGGAAGAATGCTGAATGCTGACTGGTAACTAGGAAGGAATTCTGAAATTAAAAAATTGTAATTGAGCAACCATCATAGCATAGACTGGATCAGGTGAAAATCATCTGTGAATGCTAAATCTGGTGGGAAGTTTTAAAGAGGAATAAGGTATTGAGATGACTGAAAGTATCTCATCATAGACTACAGATAGTCAGAGGAGAAAATAGTTATTTTATACTGTAGAAACAGGGCCAAATCTTGACCAGATAATCAAAATTAATATTACTTTTAATGAACAGATAGACAATGGATTCTTCCTATATGGAATAGATTGAATAGAACACAACTCCATGTATGTATTATTCCAGCCAAGAATGTGAAACACAAACCCAATCAGTAGGAAACATCAGAAAAATCTCAAACGAAGATTATAAACCTAGCAACTAAATGTAATCCCTGACTCTAAACTGCACCCAATACTGGAGAAAATGTGAAAATGGGCATAACTGAATCAACAGATACATTTAGGAATAGAAAATCATTAGTTAAAATTATTATGTCAATGTTACTTTTATGAAAATTGCTAACTTTGTTGTGGTTTTGCAAGAAACTATACCTATTCTTAATAACAAAAATAATAATGAATAATGATGAATATTTTAATATTTTACAATTGTCTTAATAAAGGTCAAGTCAGGTAAAAATCACTGGGATAAATAAAATAAAAGATGGATATCAAGTCTGGGAATTCATTTACATAAAATTATTTGGAGTTAAAGGGAGATGGTATGTATTACAATTTCAAATTGTTAAAATGCGAGAGAGAGACAGAGAAAAGAACAAAAAAGAGGAGGAATGAAAAGTAAGGGAGTGGAATGAAGCAGGAGGGGAAGCAGATGGAGGGAGAAAGAGGAAGAAAAAGAGGAATGAAGGTCTGAATTGGGAAGAAGTGAGGTAACTGTAGAATGAAGGAATAGACTCAGTGTGTTTTCATAATACAATGTTCTATAGCAATGAAAACAAGTAAGTGCAGCAATAATATGATGAATCTTACAAACATAACCCTGACTACAATGAGGTAGGAAACAAAATAAGTTCTTTGGTTATGCTGCTATTAAATTAAAAAAAATCATCTCAAATAAACTCCCCAAAAAGCCCGAAGTGGAGCTCAAGTGGTAGAGTGCTAGACTTGAACAAAAACAAAAACAAAAAAAAAGCCCCAAACAAACAAAACTCAGGGACAGCACCCAGGTCCTGAGTTCAAGCCCCAGGACAGGCACAAAAAAGAAATTAAAGAGGCAAAACTAAGTTCAGGTGTTAGCAATCAGAATGATTAACAGGAAAGAGGAAGCAGTATTTACAATGTATAACAAAATCTTCGTAAGCCTCTCTGGATAAAGAATTCATATCCTATGGGGAAGGGAGAGTACAAAAGAAGAAAATTATAAGGTGTGACTCTGAATACTTTATATGCATGTATACATAAAGAATAATAAAGCCCATTAAAATTATTTCCCAAGGGGGGATGGGAATAAGAGGGAGAAACAAGGAGTAAATTTGATCAAAGTGAATAACAAGCATATATGCACAGAACCTCTTTTCGCAATAAACATATAGTAATAAAAATGTCAACCACAGAGCTTTTAGATGAATAATCTGTCATTGAATCTCAAGGAGCTAAAAGTAAACAATTTCAACTTCAGTGGAAATAAAGAACTAAGAGAGATCAGAGTAGAAATAATTGAAACAGAAACTTGAAAGATGGTCCAAAGCCTAGTGTCGGTGGCTCATGTCTATAATCCTAGCTACTCAAGAGGTTTGATGCCAGCCTGGGTAGACAAATCCAAGACTCTGTCTCCCATAAACCACCCAAAGCCAAGGCCAGTGAAGGTGTGGCTCAAGTGGTAGAGTGCTGCCTTCAGTGAAAAAGCTAGGAGATTGCATCCAGGCTCTGAGTTCAAGTGCTAGTACCAGTGCACGTACCAGTGCATGTGTGTGTGCGTACACACACACACACACACACACACACACACACAGGGCAATATAAAAGATCGATGAAGCCAGGGGCTAGCTCTTTAAAAAGATAAATATTACTGACAAATCGTTGGCTAGATTAATTGTGAGATTGTGAAGAATTATTCAAGTAAATAAAATCAGGAAGAAAAAGGAAACATTACGTACGGGCACCATAGACATCTACAATCATGTGGCCATACTTCATAATTTATAATGTATTTCAAAATAGAGGAACAAAATTAACATTTGTCTAACACAAAGAAATGATAAGTGTTTAGAAGATGCTAATTACTCTGATTTTTATTTTTGAAGACTGTATATCTAGTATCAAAATATTACATTGTCTTTCATAAATATATATATGCCAGTCCTGAAGTTTGAACTCTGGCACTGTCTCTGAGATCCTTTTTTTCAAGGCTAGCACTCTTACCTTGTGAGCCACACTACCATTTCTGGCTTTTTCTGTGATTAATTGGAGATTAGAATCGCATGGACTTTCCTGCCTGGGGTGGCTTTGAACTGTGATCCTCACATCTTAGCCTCCTGAGTAGCTAGGATTTCAGACAAAAGTCATCAGTGCTCAGCTACATACCATTATATATTAATTTAAAAGGAGAATGATAGATAGTACAGCAGGAATCCATTTAAAAGTAGAAACCTAAATTACCTTATTATAAATTCCTTGACTCTTACTTTGTAAGTTACCATCAAGACATTACATACATGCTTTAAAAATTATCTGTAAATGCCCGATAGGAAATGTACTCATTACCTTACTCAGGTAACTAATCCCTCTGTACAGTATCTTCACAATAAAAATACTTTAAAATATCAGTAAGTAGCTTATATATGAATTACTGTATTATTGTGGCAAAAAATTATTGAGGCATAAAAGTTATAACATTTGAGTCCTTATCTTGGGGTTCATTTCACCTAACATCAACTTATCTGACTGTTTCTGCTTGTCTCAGACATATATTAGTTATTGCAAATAAAGGAAACCATGGGACCTATGTTTCTTTGGGCCTGGCTTACTTCACTTCATACAATTTTTCCAAGTCTTTCCATTTCCTAACAAACGGGGCAATGTCATTCTTTCTGATGGAGGCACAGAATTCCATTATGTATATATACCACATTAAGCACTCAAATGTTTTTTCTTTCTTGCTATTGTTTCTAACACATTTATAAGATATTTCTTTGTTGCTTTGTATGTCCCTCCCCCATGGTATAACCCCTGTTTTCACTGTATTTGATGTTGTTATAATTTGTGGAGGGGAAAAACAAATTGTTTAAATAGGGATACAGGTGGACCCATTGCAACAATGAGATGTACAAGACATTATGTCGAAAAACAAACTTTAACTTTGGCATGGGAGGAGGGGAGGAGATGGGAAGGGATGGGAAGGGGAAACAAAGGAGGAAGCAACAATGCTTGATAAGAAATGTACTCATTACCTTGCTCATGTAATTGTAACCCCTCTGTACAGTATTTTCACAATAAAAAGGTTATAACAAACTGTACTTGAATGTTCAATGTGATGGCATGAATGACATCACAACAGTCTGAAAATATTTCCCATTATAAAGATTAACTGATGATCAAGCATTTTCAGTATCTGAAATGCAAACCTAGATTAGATAATAGCTTGGACCAAAGTGAATTTCCTGATTTTAAAATTTTCAGTGTGGTTTTCTAAAGAAGGTCAATGGCTTTTCTGAACATAAAGTGAAATATTTAGGCATCAAGGGACAACATGCCTACTGCTGGAAGCTGAAAATCAGTCAATTTCCCCCTTCCTGCATTCTAAGAAATAAATAGCTTCCCCAAATGTGTCATTCTAATCCCATAGCATGGTCTAATAACACAGAATCTGCTATCACAGTGTAAAAGTACACAAATAATCAAGTCTAAGATTATAATCTTATCATCTCACGCATAAGTATGCAGGCAAGAATGGATTTCTCATTCTAGTACCACAGGTTCCTGAGGACCCTTTCTCTCTGAGAGGCATAATCCTTCCATGACCTCCATGGCTACTGTCAACCTGTCAGATCTCAAGAACAGCTGGGACATTACCAAATACAGCTCAGTTTTGAAACATACGTGTACAGTTCCTGACTCTATGGGCGCATGTGCTTCCCTTTGTTCCTCCAGATTTTCTTCTCCTACATTTTTATTAGTATCAATTAGTTGTACAGGAGATTTCATTTTGACCTGTCTATGTATGCATGCAATGTACTTTGATCAGATTTGTCCCTCTGTTACTCTCTCTTATATCTCCTCCCATCTCAAACCAATCTCAACAAACTTTATTGTTGCAGCTGGTTAACTTCCAACAACAGTGACTCTGCTCAATAGAAAAACAAAGGTAAAAATCCCTTTCTTTTTTCCCTTAGGAACATTGAGATCCCTGCCTGGATTGTAAACTATTATAAACTATTGTAAGCTACTATGTAGATTAGGTGAGCTGATCGCTTTCAACACCAATGCAGGAGGAGCAAATACGTTTTTTCTTGTTTTATACCCATTCTATTAAATCTTCACAGTCTTTTCTTCCTTATTCCTGATCACCTCCAAGGAATGTAACATTAAAAATTTTAACTTCTTTTTAAAATATTGTATTTCATATTTACTGTGGCTTGAACTCATGGCCTGGGCACTGTTGCTTTTGCTCAAGGCTGGCAGTCTGCCACTTGAACCATACCCCAATGGGTCGGCTTTGAACTTCAGTCCTCATATCTCAGCTTTCTGAGTGGCTAAGATGACAGGTATGAGCCACTAGCACCCAACTTCAACTTCATTTAACACATAACTGTGATGTCTTTTTTTATTGAGGCCGTCTTAGAAAAAATAGGGTAAATTTAAGAAAAGTCATTCTCCTTGGTCTCATTCATATTTTGTAGAGAGATCCTAGGGAGTTTAAGCCATGCACATGGCTTCACATTACTGTATTGACAAAGGCTGTTGTCCACTTCTTGATTTTAACTATCTAGTAAGTTTGGGGGAGCTAAAATACTGTGACATACTCACTGAGATTTGCATGACCATAAGCATGATGAGGGAGAGGATGGAGAGGTAGATCTGGAGCCGCTTCCCACCAAATCTCTTCTTGAGATATTCTGGCATGGTCATTACCTGCAGGCAGACATCCACAAGAATACAACTTCAGAATCCAGCATAGTCACAGGGACTAAGCACTATGGACCTGGCATGCTAGGCATAATTAAGAGAGAAAGAAATGGCCCCATGGTAAAGTAAGAAAGAGCTGGGATAGCCATATGGACTGAAGGCAGATCCTCTTGATAACCTCCTTGTTGCAACATTTATTGTATGAGTGATCTTTAGAAAGGGAGGTTTAATATATATGTAGGTGTTCAATGCTGTCCACCACACCAAGTGTCTTGATAGACACATCAACAAATAATTTTTATTATATTTACCCATCACAGTCAATAAAAGTAATATTATTTGGAAAATAATGAACTTGCTGGAGACCAGTGGCTCACACCTGTAATCATAGCTACTCAGGAGGATGAGATCTGAGGATCATGGTTCAAAGCTAACACGGGCAGCAAAGTCACTGAGACTCTTATCTCCAATTAACCACCAGAAAACTGGAAGTGGTGCTGTAGCTCAAGAGGTAGAGCGCTTGCTTTGAGCTGAAGAGTTGAGGACAGCACCCAGGCTCAGAGTTCAAGCCCCACGACCAAAAAAAAAAGTGCAGTTAAGATACCAATACAGTGATACTCAAATAAATTCGACTATACATATGGTATCCACAGGATTATTTTTTTGAAAATGAATTACTCATATCCTTTTTAAAAAAAATAGTATGGCTTTCATTACTGAAGTATGAGACTGAACATCTTGATCTTGTATCACACCAAAGTGTGGCATTGATGTAAAGGCCGAATATGTAATTAAAAGGGAAGCAAACTAGAAAAAAAAATCTGAAACCTTTCAGGCTGGTTATGAAAAACAGGAAGAAAAGATGTGCAATTGTAGGATTGACAACTACTTTCCAAAGAGGTTATTAGCACAGACAAATTGGAACCAGGTGTTGTGCGTCCAGATAATGGGAAGAAAATGCCAATGGCCTCTCTCTGAACTTGTCTCTCTAATCTTAGGCCAGAGATCTGGAAGGACCAAATGATTTCAGGGAATGGACGCATTGTATTGTCTTATGGGCTGCTGCCCAGGGCAACCTCAGCCCTCTACACAGTGCAGACTGTAGAGATTCACTAGCATAGCAGGGGCTCCAATGGGGCCAAGCATATTACATGCTCTAACTCCACAAAGAGCCAAGGGGCAGACTTCGGTGGCATCCATATGTTGCTAATGCTGAAGACTTCGGTGGCATCCATATGTTGCTAATGCTGAAGACATACAGAATTAAAGACTTAAGGAGTCATGGCTGTTTCTGTGGAGATTACCAAACAAGGCTTGTAAAGACCAGGCAGAGGTGCCAGAGAGAAAGCCCTACTGAATCACTTCTGGGATCCTGACTAGTGGAGTTGTATGCATGGAGCTCCAGCAGACACCCAAGAAAAGGGAGAGAGATTGACAGTATGCAGCATTAACCTGAAAATGCTAGAAGTACTAGACTCAGTCCCGAAAGCTACTGTATAAAACTGAGCCCAATAAAGTCATAAAAACTGGCCTTCCCAAAGCCTTTGGGGGGTTCACTTTCTATCTGAGTATCCATAGGATTCCTGAGATAATTTAGCTTTCAGGTATAGTATTTGCTCTGCCTTGTTTTGGTATTGATGAGATCCGTGATCCTTTTCAGAGGGTCTATGTCTCCCTTTTGGAATAGAAATGTTTATACTTTCATTGTCTCACCGATTTATTGGAAAAGTAATTAATTTTACTAAGTTGTAACTAGAAAGTTTCCAATGGAGTTTCACCTGTGACTTTAGACTTGGACTTCTGAGTTGATGCTGGAATGATTTAAGGCTTAGAGATGATTGCCAGAGAGAATGCAATTTAGATTGTGAGATAAACATGAATTTTACAGGGTATTGTCACAGTCCTATGGTCTGAAAATGATTGTCCTTCAACAAGATAAATGAGGTTCAGATTTTGTCCAGAGTGCAGAATCTAATAAAGTGGGGATTAATAGAAGGCAAATGACGAAAGATTATTTAATAAATGGATACCCTAATGAATGGTTTGATTCCAATGTCAAAGGAGTGGGTTCTTGAGAGGGTGGGTTTTATAAAGGAAGGCCATTTCATGCTTTTTTTGGGCATGCCATTATTTTCTTTTCTACTTCTTCAACATGTTGTGATTCTGCAGTGGCCATAGTCAAAGCAATGCTGGTACTGTGGTCTTTAATCTCCAGAACTGTGTGCTCAATAAACCTCTTTTCCTTATGAAGTACCAGATGTTAAGATTGTTATAGCAACACTATAAACTAAAACAGAATTGCAAAGGCACCAAACACCCATTTCCAAAGTGAATTCAGTGCTTTGTTCTCATCCATCATCTAGATTCCTTCTGGAATCTCTTCCCCACTGGAGGAGACCTTAGGCTTCCAGGCCTTTGAACTTCATGTCTTAGAATGCATTCTAACGCTCCCTTCTTAACTCCCTTTATGTGTTATTTGTTATCCAGCCTGATTTATCTTGGTCTCAGAAGCAACTCTCTAACTTTTCTTTTTCTTTCCTATACAATCATAAATTATTTTGTCAACTTTTTCACGGATCACCTGCTCAAGTCCATTCTCCCCTGAGATCTGAGCTAAGATTCCTAAACTTCAAGTCTCATTATGAATCATAAGTGCTAGAAAGCCTGTATTTGTCATCTTAGAGAGAATACAGGACACAGCTTTGAAATCTAGGATGTGTAGGCCTTTCCCCTGCATTAACAGATCCACCATTCCATCTCTCACCACACTTCCTCCATATAATCCCCATATGCCAAGTCCTTTCACAAGTTCCAACTTCTGTATGTTTTCTACACCATTCTTCTATCTGATTCTTCTATCTTTAGAGGTGACAGGATCCCTCAAGGATGAAGCCAGGACACCTTTGAGGAGCTTTCCCTGAAGGACATAGGATTCCCAGATGCAGGATTTTTATACCACATGCTCATTATGCAAGAAAACTATAGATTTCTCACCTGACTACAGCCACAGTCTACACTGAAAGCCTTCCAAGGAAGGGATTTGGTTTTTGTTGATTGTGGATTTTTAGCAATAGACCAAGTGAAGGCTGAGTACCCATGTTTCAGTAAAAGTTAAAAGTTCATGGATAAAAGAATGCCTGAAGATAGGTTTGAGAGGCGGCTCCTGAGTACATGTAGATACTCACCCCTGCCTTAATGTAGATGGGGACAAAGAACCACCCTAGGACCAGCACCAGCACCAAGGCCTGTAAGAATACAATAAAAGAGGGTGAGATTCAAGAGGCTTGCTTGTAGGACTTCTTAAATCTCAGTAATTGAAACAAAGTTGGCTTAGATCCTATCTTATCGTGATTCTCTGATGGTTGTGGATTTCTTCCCTTTGTCTCTATGATTCAGAGGCTACCATTTCCTGAGGTTTAAAATGTGATCAAAGATATGTGGGAAAGAACATTGGAACATAATAAATCTGAGTCCAGTTAGGCCATTGAAAGATATCCAAAGCAATGGACAGAGCAATCAGAAAGGACTTTGGAAATTGAAGATTCTCTGTGCCTGTCATATCTTTCAAATGCTAAAGCAATGATAAGAAATAAAACCTATCATTTATATGAAACATTCACTGAAGCTTTTTTTTGGCCAGTCCTGAGGCTTGAACTCAGGGCCTAGGTACTGTCCCTGAGCTTCTTTTGTTCAAGCTAGTACTCTAACATTTGAGCCACAGCACCCCTTCTGGCCTTTTCTGCTTATGTGGTACTGTGAAATTAAACCCAGGGCTTCGTGCATGCTAGGAAAGCACTCTACCATTAAGCCACATTCCCAGCCCTTCTTTGTGTTTTCATGATATGTAATGCTTATGCCTCTCTAACAACCCACTGAGGCCGACATTATTCTTATATTACAGGGGTGAAAAATGAACATCACAGAGCGTATGGAAGCCCAAGGTTACAGGCTTACAAAGGAACCAGCTGAGCTATCTGTGCTGGTAATCACAGCCATATGGGACATAGATCATTTTGAGGCAGAGTCCATAAGTCTCCCAAAAAGAAACTGATGATGGGGCCCATAAGGAGTCAGGGTACACACTGGAGCTCCTGATATTACTCAAGTAGAACTGGGGACAAAATCCTCAACAAGCTATTTGTGGTGACTCAAGGTCACTTCCTGTTTTTACCCAATGATGATCTCTTTAAATTTTTTTTCCAGTGACTCATCTTCCTCTGATTGATATGCATAGAGTTGTTCACACAACACTCCTCCCTCCCCCCAACAAATACCACCAGGAAAAGGATGAGAGAAAAAGAATAGCAAAAAGTACAGGCGACTCAAGAACTCTTTACAATACTCTCATCATATGCCCAGCCAAATGACAGGTAATGTGGTAATCTGAGTACAAGAGAAGACAGGTTCCTTTTCTTTCCAAAACGTAGAGTATGATTGAAAGCACATGGCTTTTGTGACACCATAGCAAAACAATTAGAAACCCCATCACAGATGTTTTATCTGTAGTCTCTAGAAATATTTATTGCTACCTCCACTGTTAATGCTTTGATCAGTTCTGTGTAGACAGTTTCCATTGAGCCATTTGGTGTGGTTCTCCCTTGACACCTACCAAGCCTATGATGGATTTATTCCCCCAAGATCCTTCAATATATTGTGCATCATTTTCTCCTTATACATTCTACGCTGTAGTGGAATGAATAATTTTCATCAACTGGATTCTGCAAAGAAAGGGAACTTTTGGATTTACATTAAAAATATTCCTTTCACCTGCTTTATGGCTGGACACAAGGTCCAGAAAGAAGAGAGAAAATTGAGATCTCAAATTGTCAAAGCAGGGCAAGTGAAAGTGGATACTGAGCCATAGAGAAATGACATTTCAGGTAGCAAAACTGTTGGAGAAAAATCTCAGAAGTTAATAATGAGCCTGGTATGGCTCAGGTAGTATGGGACTACAGAGGTGTTAAAGGGCAAACAAAATGTTAACTAAGAGAAAGAAGAATAAAAATCAAAGCAAACCAGGCCCTGATGGCTCATGGCTATACATCCTAGTCACTCAGGAGGTTGAGATCTGAGCATTGCAATTCAAATTTAGCCTGGGCAGGAAAAAGGCAGCCTCTCAGAAGTTTTTAATCTCCCAGGAACCACCAAAAAGCTAGGAGGGAGGCTGTGGCTCAAGTGGTAGAGCACTAGCCTTGAGTAAAAAAACTAAGGAATAACATCCAGACCCTGAGTTCAAGTCCCATGACAGACAAAAAAGAGAACAGATATTATGTCCTAGAAACTTTGGGTTTGATTTGATTAAAATATCTTGGCTCAATTTAGAGGACAAGTCTTTTGATGTTACTTACATTCCATTCATTTGCCGCAACAGCTATTCCAGTAGCTGACCCTGTCCCAGCCAGGCCCACAAAGTGGCCGGCACCTATGTTAGTGGCAAAGAGAGAAGCTCCCATCTGGAAGGCAAGAGAGGAGACTGCTGTTATTAAATGATTCAAATTAGACTTCTTTCAAATGGATAGATAAGAAGGGGACACAAATCACTACACCTTTAGAGCAGGAGCCAGCAGTCCATGTCCTGTGGGCTAAATCCAGAATATCACCACTTTTTATGTGGACCCTAAATAAAGAACGTTTGTGGGAAAAAATCTGAATAGCCAAAAGTAGTTTTAAAAATCGAATGAGTAATTAACTTTTGTGACATGTGAAAATGTGGAATTAAGTGAGTTGCCAATTTCAGCATCCAGTGAGTCTAGGGGAAGAGAACAGATTGAACGGGGAAGAATGATGGAAGGGGTTATTCTGATCAAGAAGCATTGACCACTTAGATGGACAAGTTAAATTGTAAATGCCTTGTGCAACCTTTTGAAGCTCAGTAATAACAGTTAAAAATGTCCTCAAAACAGTCTTGTTGGAAAGAAGCATATTTATTAGTTTACATATTGACTACAGGTGCTTTTGTGATGTAATGTAAAAGCTATATAGTTGAAAAATTATATAAACTTTAAACTCAAAAGTACTTCAGATCAGACCTTTTAGAAAAAAACCACTGATATCTGCCTTCAGTTACATTAATACATCTGCCAATATGTTCTGAGTTGAGCCCATCTTTAATCAAAAACTATCAGAGACCGTGAGAGTCAGTGGCTTATACCTGTAATCCTAGCTCCCCAGGAGATTGAGATCTGAGGATTACGGTTTTACACCAGCCCCAGCAGGAACATTCACAAGAGTCTTATTTTCAATAAACTACTACAATAAAGTACAGGAAACACCAAAAGTGATGCAGTGGCTCAAGTGGTAGAGTGCTAGCCTTGAGTTCAAGGAGACTCAGGGACAGCTCCCAGGCCCTGATGCTGAGTTCAAGCCCCAGGACTGCCAAAAAAAAGATAACTAAAAAACTATCAGAGCCCTCAACAGATCTGGTCACTCAAATGATTACCAAGTACCTCATATTTCAGGAGAGAATTCCTCCTTCATATTCCTTCCCAGCAACCAGACATTCTTCTCATTTGTGTCCCTTTCTACCATATTGTCTGCTGTGAAAGACTCACAGATGAAGCGAGATCTCTTGAGTGAGTCATGAATGAGTACCAGTTCTGAAAGAACAGAACAAGGGCCTGGAACCCAGTGATGATTCATTTATTCCAGTATTTAGCTCTGTCGTGCTCATTTTTTCTGTTCAGCTAGTTGGGAGGGATATTGAGATTGTTTGAGTGCCTACTAGAATGTAAGCTTCTCAAAAGCTTGGGATTGGTTGAGGCTTGTATGCTTCAAAAGATAGTACACAAAGGCAATATCTGATTGAATTCTCTAAGTAAAAATCCATTTTGAATTGGAAGTTGGTCTGCTTCAGTTACCCTGGCCAGGTCAGTTCTCCCTTCCCATCTCCACCCCTCCCCTCCCCTCCCCTCCCCTCCCCTCCCCTCCCCTCCCTTCGTACTTTTGTTAGTCCTGGGGCTTGAACTCAGACCCTGGCATTGTCTCTGAGCTTCTTTTCACTCAAGGCTAGTGCTCTACCACTTGAGGCACAGTTCTACTTCCAGCTTTTTTGGTGGTTAACTGGAGATAAGAGTCTCACAGAAATTCCTGCCTGGGCTGGCTTCGAACAACTATCTTTAGATTTCAGCCTCCTGAGCAGCTAGGCTTACAGCTCCTGTCAAGGTTTGATTATTTCTTTTCTACTGGCTAGGTCAGTTCTGAAGCTGTTTTTTTTTTTTTTTTTTTACACTATTTACATGTGTAAGATCTATGAAGGAATCATTAGGAGCCATTACATACCTCATCCCATTCGTTCTCTAGGATTACAGAGGAAAATGCAGCTTTATTTCCAATGTTTTCTATAAACACACACACACATACACACATGTTTGCAAACACATGCACACATTTTACCAATTTATCTGTAGGAAATTAGTCTACTTACTGGCCACCAGGAGATATCTCGACCAGCTAGGAAATAACCTCCAACTGTGCTTCGGTTGGTCTTCAGCATGGCCTGAGCAGAAAGACACGTGAGAATTAAGGTGTCACAACAGGTGTACTCACAGGATTCACATAATGCTCCAGTCACTGTGGCCAGCATGTTGACAGTGGTGATGTTTCAGTATTCCCCCCGAAGGAAATATTTTCTAGAAACTGTGATGATCATCAATTTTTAAACAGATTTGCAATCATAGCTTTATTAAAGAAAACAAACCTTGGACTTTGAAGGAGTTCATGAAATCATGTTGTGACAAACTGGTATTTATTTCCTTTATGAACACAATGTGAGGTAACCCTAATGCTGTGCTCAGGTGAAAATTTGCAGCATTGACTCCCCCACTCCAAAGACCGAATGCAATACAAATGACTTATCCACCTTGCAAAGCCAGAAAAGAAACAGACAGCAAATGGAAAAATAAAGTAAATGAATTAACAAAAAATATTCTGCTCATTTTGCTCGGCACAAAAGATTCCAGATATAGTAAATAAACCAATAGCTGAAATGATGAGGTTGCTGGGAGAATGGATTCACTCAGCAAAGTATTATTTATGTCATACAGCAGGAAATGACTCAGATGGAAACACAATGGCACTTGTGAAAATTGCCAAGGCACTTCAACACAACCCTGGTGCCCACCCAAAAGCCTATTAGCATCCTACATACCCATAGCCCGACAGCTACCACCACTATGAAATAGATGACAATGACAGAGATGTCAGCAGCATTTTGAATGGGTCTTGACAACGGAGGGGTCTCTGGGGTCTCAGTGATAGTGTTGGGGCTTAATGTGCTGGCCATGGCGGCAAATGGTGGTGATCCCATCCCAAGAGTGGCCCTTCTTTATAGAAGTATTGGGTTAATGATCAGCCTCAAGCAGATGAGCAAGGTATCAGGGCTGATTCCAGGCAGGTGGACTTTTAAACTTCTCTTGGCAATTCAGGCTATGAGACTTTGGCCTTCCAGCACTTCATATTGACCTATGTAGTATGTTAGAATACAATGTATCCCAGAAAAAGTGCAAATTGAAAGTGAAAATGGAGTGGGAGTATAGTGCACTAAAGGAGGTTTGATCGGTTTAGTTCAGTCTATGGGAGAGATGATGAGAGATAAGGAGAATAGAGGAGAAGTTTGAAAACAGGGAAGGCTGGATAAAAGGTGAGAGTTTCTTACAGAGTAGAAAAGGCCCTTGATCAACAATTTTATCTCATGAAAATGAAGTTACTCATTCACCTATAGGTTTCCCCCAACTCTACATTTCTTTGGAACAGATAGTTTAAACAAACTTCACATGAAACATCAGGATAATGACACCTCATGTAGGAATGGAAAATAGCTCTACACCTACCACTTTAACATTTAAGTGTGAAATTCAGTGGCATGGTTCTAAGTAGAACTGGAATTGCCACCTTCCATTTTTAGAACTTAAAAATTTTTTTATTGTAAAAAATAGTGTACAGAGGGGTTACAGTTACACAAGTAAGTTAATGAGTTCATTTCCTGTCGAGCATTGTTACCTCCTCCTTTGTTTTTCCCCAACCATCCCTTCCCTCCCCACCTCCCCAACCCCCCTTCCCCCAACCCCCCTTCCCCCTCCCCCTCCCCCAAGTTGTAAAGTTCTTTTTCAACATAGTGTCTTGTACATCTCATTGTTACAATAGGTCAACCTGTATCCTTGTCCCAAACAAGGATACAATCCTGTATCCTTGTTATTTACCTTCCCCTCTCCAAATTAGAAAAATGTATATACAAAATGCAGGATACAGATGTCAAATACAGTGAAAACAGGGGTTATACAGTGGGCGAAGAACATACAAGGGAAACAAAAAAAAAACACATAGTACATTTTAGAAATGTTAAAAACAATAGCAAGAAAGAAATAACAAGTTGTGTCCCTATCTTGGGGTTCATTTCATTTAACATCATCTTATATAGTCATATGTACATGGTTTTTCACATTTTCTGCTTGTCCTAAACTTATACTAGTTATTGCAAATAAGGGAAACCATGGGATCTATGTTTCTTTGGGCCTGGCTTACTTCACTTAATATAATTTTTTTCCAAGTCTTTCCATTTCCTAACAAATGGAGGCATAGAATTCCATTGTTTATATATATCACATTTTTTGATCCATCCATCTACTGGGTTGCTTTTTAGAACCTTTTCATTATTCCACACAAAAGTTGTTTTTTTTTTTTTTTGGGGTCCAGTCATGGGGCCTGAACTCTGGGCCTGGGCGCTGTCCCTCAGCTCTTCAGCTAAAGGCTAGCACTCTACCACAGCACCACTTCTGGTTTTTTTCTTTTTGCTTATATGGTGCTGAGGAATCGAACCCAGGGCCTCAGGCATGCAAGGCAAGTGCTCTACCACTGAGCCACCTTCCCAGCCCCACCACACAAAAGTTTTTAAGTATGATTGTAATATATATATTACAATATCTAATAATATATTGAATAATATATATATTTACACACACATATATGTATATATTCTCTCAATATTCTTTCTCCACAGCCTCTGGTAACCCTATTCTGCCTTCTGTCCACATGAATTTGTGTATTCTAAGAACATCACACAGGTGGAATCATACAACGTCATAAAATGCTTTTCCTTTTGTGCATTGTTTATTTTACTTTAATTGGTGGTAATAAAGAATTCACAGGGGAGAGAAGGAAGTGAAATTAGCAATCAAAAGAGCAGCTTATACATCTATGTTTACTGCAGCACTACTTGCAATCATTAAGATATGTAATCAATGCAGGTGCCCATCAATAGATGAATGAGTAAGGAAATTATGGTATAGCTGCCCAATGGAGCATGATCATCCATGCTACATGGAAATAAGGCAGACCTGGAAAAGAAAGGGTCACATGTTTTCTCATATATATGAAAACTTAAAAAAATATGTTGCCCTGAAAGTTGAAGAATGATTACTAGGGACTGGGAAAGATGTCAGTACGTGTGTGTGTGTGTGTTGGGATAGAAAGATAAAAGAATAACCAATGCATGGTGTTTGCAGGTCTGGAAATATCACAGTGGGAACCATTTGTTTGTACAATTAATATATAATAATAATGAAAAATAAAATAAAACATCACTGTCCTCTAATTGTCTCCTTCCTTGTCTTCAGTCATTTCCCCACTAAATCAAGTTCTTACCTGTTTAAACTTCAGCTATTCTAAATGATTTGTGTCCTTAGATAACAACAAGCAAATAAAAAGTGTTATGGAAGCAAACATACTAGTAGGAAAATCACTTAACCACAACAGAAGACAGGAATTAAAGAAAGATAGCTGGGTACTGGTGGCTCAGGCCTGTTAATCATAGCTACTCAGAAGGCTCAGATCTTGGTGTTCCTGCCACTGTTGCTGCCTCTTCTTCTTGCCTGCCAGTTCAAAGCTCATTGTCTTTGACTCTACCTTACAAGATAAAAAGGCCTTCTTTGCTTTGGTAGCTAACAAAATCCATGAAGCACTGCTATAGGAAAATAACCAAAAAAGCACTTTGTAGGAATGCTCATAATTACAGATTTCATAGATGACATAGATATTATAAATTACCTATGGTACAAATTTATGATTTAGAGGAGCATAAGATTGAAATGTGGAGGGGACTGTATTTACAAGAAGCATTTAAGCTTTTAGTGAATATATCTCCAGATGCAAGTCTCTTCCACGCAGTATACTCACTGATCAAAAATAAAATCCAGAGCTGGGCTCTGGGATCCCGCACCTTCAATCCTAGCTACTCAGTAGGCTGAAATCTAAGTGTTATGTTTCAATGCCAGGCTGAACAGGAAAATCAATGAGAATCTTACTCCAATTAACCACAAAAAGCTGGAAGTGGAGCCGTGGATCAAACTTTAGAGTGCTAGCCTGGAGCACAAGACCTCAGGGACAACACCTAGGCCCAGAGTTCTTGCTCCAGGACCAGCAAAAACAAACAAATAACTAAACAAATAAATAAATCCACAGGTTGCCAGTTATTAATCCATCAGTGGGAATGCATGTTAAATCCATACCCACAAAAGTATCTTCAAGTTTCTTAAACTTTTTATGGCTGACATGTCAAAGCAAGGTCAAGGCTTAGAACATCTTTGTGGAGAGATGGATATCAGCCTTGCCCATGGTAGATGAATCAGGAAAAGGTATAGATATTTATTCCAAATCTGATGTAATTAACCTGGCTGCTAACAAAGCATACGATAACCTATACATTAGAGTGACTCAGGACCTGCAGCACCAATTGGAATACTTTTAAGGTGTTGTGAAGTGCTATAAGCTGACACAGAGACACAGACACAGACACAGACAGACAGACAGATACACACACACACACACACACACACACACACACACACACACACACACACACTGACTAGTACTAGTCAGAGCCAAGGTCCATCTGCTGCTGGTGGTAAATGTAGCAGATAGCATTGTGGGCATTATCTCCTGGTCTGACATTCTGCCAGCCCTGGTCCTCTTTCACACCAGCAGGCACCAGACAGAAGGAGCCAGAGATAGAATGACCACTGTGAGCATCTGCACCCACGTAGCAAAAATTGAACAAACTTTCTGGGTCACGTTTTTCTTCATGAACACTGGCTGCAATAGAAGAGAATAAAATGGCTAAAGAATGTAATAGGGGATAGCAGTGGATGTTTTGGTTCTCCAGTGATGTCAGTTTTATAAAAAGAATGATTTTGTGTGCTTGAAGTTTTCAGGCTTACATTAAAAGAGTTTTCAGACCTTCATCAGAAGCATTTTCAATGCTCTGTTATTAAATCTCATGGTGTCCTGAAATTTTATTGCTTTTCATGTCAAATATTCACTGGTATGGAACAGATGATGGGCCATAAGTTGAGTGTAGGGCATGAACAGGTAACAGTGCCTTATATCCAGATACAGCAAGATGCCATCCTGATGCTGCTGAGCCTGCTGCATGGCCCAGAATGTGCTTGAAGTCACAAGAGCTCCAATGTGGAAGCCTCAGCCCTCATACAGTTATTTTCATTAGATTGGTCAACCAGTCATCATTTGTATAGAAACAATCTCTTTAAAACTTAAGAGAGCCAGGTACCTGTTGTCTCTCACCTGTAATCCCAGCTAAATTTAGGAAGCTGAGATAGGAGGATCACCATTTAAAACCAGCTTGAGCAGGAAAGTTGTGACTTATCTCCAGTTAACCACCAAAAAGCCGGGGGTGGGGCTATGGCTCAAATGGTAGAGCACCAGCCTTGTGCAAAACTGGCTAAGGGACAGTGAGTATGCTCTGAGTTCAAGCCCAGTCTTCTCTCACACACAAATTCTTCAGTGACATTCAGATTGAAGTGAGTCTCAAGTAAAGAAGGCTAACGTTTTGGCAGCCTTATTTTATTTTATTTAAAAAATATTTCTGTGAATAGATATTTAGAATTGTTATATTCTCCTGTAGGAGAGATCCTTTTATTAGTATGTAGTGTCCTTTATTCTCTTCTCACTAATTTTAATTTGAAGTCTATTTTATCTGATATTAGGACTTCCATCCAGCCTGATTTGGGGGGCTGTTTGCTTGGTAGATTTTATTCCAGCCTTTCAGAATATGTTTTTGTAGGGAAAGTGCATGTCTTGAAGACAGCGATAGACAGATCCTGAGTTTTGATCCAACTAGAGATTCTAGGTCATTTGATTGGAGCATTAAGTCCAATAATATTGAGAGTTAGGATTGAGAGGTGTTATCCACCTTCTTAAGGGCTGTGTCACCTAGGTTCTGCCTATGTTTTTCTGATTCTTTGTTTGGGGGCTGTTTCTCTGCCTTCATCC